TTCTAATACATGTGACACACCTTAGTACTATTTTGATCTTGGAGATACGTATAACCACGAAATCTTTTAGTTATGTTTAAATCATAATATATTTGAACGAATTTCCTATACGTCGATCACATAATTATCGATATATATGTATTATTCTCATCTATGGATTGTTTTTCATATTTGAATACGGAATAATGTTGTCTCAGGAAACGTCAGCATTCATACTTATATTGTTCGTGGATATAGTATTAACTCGTAAGTTTTTTAATTCATGATAATTTGTACTTAAAGAATACAAATGTGTTAATTTTAGTAACAGCATGTTTTTTTTGTTTGTTTTTTTTATGCCCCCACGTTAGTGGCGGGCATTTAGATTTACCCTTGTCCGTCCGTCCGTCCGTCCTTCCGTCCGTCCTTCCGTCCGTCCGTCCGTCCGTTCACTTTTGTGTCGCACGTAACTCAAAAAGTATTTGACCTAGAGTCATGAAACTTTACAGGAATGTTGATCAGCATGTGTAGTTGTGCACCTGGGTATTTTCGTCTGGATATTTTTAGTATTTTCAGAGTTATTGCCCTTGACTTAGTTAAATTTTGCAATTTTCAACTTGTGTCGCATGTAACTCAAAAAGTATTTGACCTAGAGTCATGAAACTTTACAGGAATGTTGATCAGCATGTGTAGTTGTGCACCTGGGTATTTTCGTCTGGATATTTTTAGTATTTTCAGAGTTATTGCCCTTGACTTAGTAAAATTTTGCAATTTTCAACTTGTGTCGCATGTAACTCAATAAATATTTGACCTAGAGTCATGAAACTTTACAGGAATGTTGATCAGCATGTGTAGTTGTGCACCTGGGTATTTTCGTTTGGATATTTTAAGTATTTTCAGAGTTATTGCCCTTGACTTAGTAAAATTTTGCAATTTTCAACTTGTGTCGCATGTAACTCAAAAAGTATTTGACCTAGAGTCATTAAACTTTACAGGAATGTTGATCAGCATGTGTAGTTGTGCAACTGGGTATTTTCTTTTGAAAATTTTCATTATTTTCAGAGTTATTGCCCTTGACTTAGTAAAATTTTGCAATTTTCAACATGTGTCGCAGGTAACTCAAAAAGTATTTGACCTAGAGTCATGTTCCTTTACAGGAATATTGATTAGCATGTGCAGTTGTGCACCAGGTATTTTCGTCTGGATTTATTTAGTATTTTTAGAGTTATTGCCCTTCACTTAGAAAATCTTTGCAATTTTCAACTTGTGTCGCAAGTTTCTCAAAAAGGATTTGACATAGTCATTTAACCTATAGGCAGGTTGCTCAGCATATTTTAAATTTGCACCTGGGGTTTTGCTTGTGGATTTATCCAGTATTTGTAGAGTAATTTCCCTTGACTTAGTAAAATGATTGACAGAACAGTGGCGCGGTGGGGGCACCCGTGTCCTATGGACACATTTCTAGTTTTACCTTAATTATGGAATGCCGGTAGGGACATGCCACTTTGCTTATTTGCCAACTACTTAATTGCTTATTTGCTGATTTGCCAATTTGCTTATTTGCTGATTTACAAATTTGCTTATTTGCTAATTGCTTATTTTCTTATATACATAAATTTTTATGCTATTGTCAGGCGACACGTCCGACTCGCGAAGTTCTTGTTTGATATAAAATAACAAGTCTTTGTAGACTTTATTTCAAGCTCATGAACCTATATCATGTTATTATGTTTATAAAGTTTTGTTAATAAATTATACTTTGTGACAATTATGATCAATCCATCATTACCTAGAATATAGGTAGAAAGACAGATGGATACATTTTAATAAATTTCGAAAAAAATAAATTCAGTTTCAGAAAGTAGTTGTTTTTTTAATTATCTTGAGTTTCAGTTTTAGCTCCACTATTCATGCTATTCTACCCACCAATACATTGGTTTTCTTGGTTACTTGTTTTTCTGTCATATCTCTGTTACTTTTGCTGATTCATGCATCTTACTGCAACTTTGCATAAACATTGCGTTACATGCATGCATACAAAGTACACGAAGAAACTGTGCCCCGTTATATACTGAATGTCAAGGTCACCAATGTATTGTACTGAGAAGCCTTTGTTTTTCTGTCATATCTCTGTTACTATTGCTTATATCTAACTGTAACTTCACATAAGCATTAAATAGGCAGCATGCATACACAATATTCAAAGAGGCTTTGTCCATTATACCCTAGGTCATGATCATGGTCATGGTCACCTGATAGCATGTAAAATGTACAACATGAAGAAATGGAAAAGTGTGACCAATATCAAAAACATTGAATCAAAGCAAAATGTTGATGCACACACAGACATAAGTGATCTCAAAATATTACAGAGCTAAAAACGAAGGCTATTGCTTAAGTGCAAAGACAAACACCCGTGTTAAGCATGCACCAAATGTATCATTCGTGATACTATGTGTTCGTACCACTAAAATGAGGCCCTCTGTGACAAATCTGCTGAGAATAACGACATTTTATATGCCATAAAATAAGAAATAGTTTTGTTTTTAAGTTCATTTATTTTCAATCTTTACTCAATATTTTTCACTTAAATATGACTAATCAAGTGTTTATTATGCCATCAATCTCTGACTTAAGCTGCACAAACATATTTATAGCTGCAACACATTATAAGGCATTCTCAAGCACAGATGCTGGCGGGTCAAATCCTGCCCCTTACGTGATACGCGTCTGTAAACACTATATCAAAACTATTTTAATATTTATTTAAATACGAATTGGACATTTGTTACAACGATAAAACCATTAAGTACTTTATTGAGACTTGGTGGTATATGGTATTTTTTCATACCCGTATATGTACAAATTGCTTGAAAACCAGCTTTAACGATGTCCAATTCGTGTTTGAATATCAAAATATTTTAAATAGAGTGTTTACAGGGGCACGTTGGGGTACGGAATCTGACCCTAAGCGTCTGTGTTCTCAAGGACATGTCAGCCATCAGTTGTAGACATATATCTGCGTAGGCATCACTGCAACTAAATTCGTTGACCAACAGTATTCTTGAAAAACACTGAATTTACAAGAATACTGTTGGTAAAAGTTAACAGATCTGACTCAACTGGTTGTCTGTAGTCAGATTGTCCATATACTTCCGGCACAGTGTAAACTTTTCTACTGCAAAAGAGCAAATTAGCAATAGGCAAATAAGCAAATACGTAAACCAGCGGTTAACAAATAAGCAAATTAGTAATTCAGCAATTGGCAAATAAGCAAATTTGTCGTTAAGCCTATCAGCCATTGGCAAATAAGCAAATCGGCAATTAGCAAATAAGCAATTCAGCGATTGGCAAATAAGCAAATTGGCATGTCCCTACCGGCATTCCATACTTAATACTTCTAAAAATATTTGACATATAATATTTTATAAATTATTCTTATTAAATTTTATTTGATTTTCTTGTGATCACGTTAAGATGTTTAATATATACGTAATATATATGAAATCTGACTTAGCATATTTATTGTTCTTTACTTTGTATATTTGGAAACACAAATGTATATATAAATATATTACTACAAAATTGTAAATAGAATAAAAATGAATATTTACAGAATGTCCTGTTGGCTGCAAGTTATGTTCCGGGTCAACTTGCACAAGTTGCGAATCATCTTTCTTTTTATCAAATAACTTGTGTTTACCATGTCCCGAAAATTGTGACAGCTGTAACAGCTTGGATGACTGTACTTTATGTAAGCCAAGCAAGTTTGGTTTACAAGCAAAATGTAATTTCACCTGTGAAAGAAATTGTCTAAACAGTGAATGTCAAGATGATACGGGATTTTGTACACAATGCAAACCTGGTTTTTATGGACAACAATGTACTAACAACTGTAGTGTTTGTGCCAATGAACGTTGTGATTTACGTACCTGCTCGAATGGTTGCACAAACGGATATTATGAGTTTACAAACGGTGTTGAAACAGTATGTCAAAAGTGTTCGTTTAATTGTAAACAATGTAAGGATGGTAAAACATGTTCAATTTGTAATAATGGTTTTCACCTCTATAAGTTAAATGACAGTGTTCACTGTGTGTCATGTTTGCAAGAATCGCAATGTTCGAACTACTGTGTTATTCGAGGTTGTAACCAATGTCAAATACACGACTATTCGTTAGTCTGCGCTGATTGTCCAGAAGGGCAAACATTCAATGGCGAAACCTGCGGATCACACACATCATTGTGCTCTAAAGAATGTTCTACGAAATGCGATAGTACTGGAATATGTCAAGGAGAATGTAATGAGGGCTGGACTGGTGAAAAATGTTCCGAACAATGTAACAGCAAGTGTTTAAAGTGCTCAAAAGATAACGGAAATAGTTGTCTACTGTATAAAGGTAATTTTATTCTCAAACAATTGCATTTTAATGAATCCATAGTAAACATAAATATTGGATAGTCATATTTTTGCCATTTATTATGGTGGTATTTAGAAGTTATTGGATATGATTTATTTGTCATGCGCGTACGTGTTAGTATTGTGATAGTAAGAATGGTGGCTGTACTAGTAAAACTATTTAGACCATTGCGAGATGTGCTGAAAAGATTGGTAATATGTGTAAAAAGTAAAATGACGACTTTTACTCTCTAGATTGTAGTCAAGTAATTGAATGATCTTAGACTTGTGTGTACTTGAGTTTATTTATACTCGCCACCAGTTGCCCGTATGAGGGGGGGTTCTCAAGAGGAGTACTAGTCACTTTAGATTTTGGAGGATAGCGCAAGATATAAATACAGAAAGGTTCCAAATTCCAGAAGCTTTCCTTGCTTCTTTAAAGTGCCAAATGCTTAAAAGTCTCATCTGAAATACTGTTTTAGTAATTCTAATTTTAAATTTGGACCGCCCGAGAATCGGACCCTCAATGTCAATATTACAAGTTCCACACTCTAACCGATAGCTCATTGCTTGCTAGCTTGATCTTACATTATTGTTTGTGCAGTTTTGACGGGAAACTTCTTTCAGTAATCATTAGAGCATATTTATGACACGTCAATTTTATATCTACAGAAACATCAGTGTCGGCAACAACAACATTAGCCGAAACTGTAACCCAACAACAAAAATGTGTGCGGTGCGAAGATGAAGTTAATAATTTTACCATTGGTTTTTTCTCTGGAATCGGATCTTGTGTTGCCATAGAAGTATTTGCTGTATTGTTTTACCTGATACGTCGAAGGTGAATGCTGTTTTCACAGATTTGAAACTATACAACATAATTCCCCGTAATGCATTTTAATTGATGAAATTAATGATAATTAAAATAATTATAAGAATAACGTTATGTAAAGTTTTTCTTTATGATTTAATAGATATGTTTGTACTTTCAAGTACATTGTGTCGGTTTAAACTGCTTTTTGTATTACCTAAAATCAACTTAAATAATATTGTATAATATTATTATGAATTCTATGATTTAATACAGGTATCTTGCAAGTAAAACGCCCCAAGAATACAAACCCAACGATGTGACTAGAAATGATTCAGAGCTGTAAATACTCAGTCGGCTGAAGTGACTAATAATTACGAGAGTTTGATTAATAACACGGATAATTTATACAATGGTAATTACAATGTGTTCACTTTATTTACCTAGAATTATGATAATTTTAAGTACTTGATGTCTTTATTGTTGTTCATATCTATTTATTTATTTATTTTTCATTTATTTAATTATTTATAAATTATGTATATTTTTATTTTCAGATCTCGGAACAACATTGTCATAGATGCAAGAGGAATGTGTGTTACTTGTGGAAACAAAACAAATTAATGGAATTTTCAAACTGTATTTGTTGTTTCTCTTATTCGATACATATTTTATGGTAGTGACAAAGGTTTTATATTCTTAATCCCAAACAGGCAGTTACGACAAAGAGGTAGCAGTATTGTCCCTCTATGCGTTCAAGATCCTGTATGTTTTGTGATTGATATTGTTACTGTGCGTATACCACACTTGCAAAAAAATTATATATGTATATAATTATGCAAATCAAACGATTTTCAAACATCAAAGTATCTGTATAATGTGTACTGCAAATATTTGTGCACATTACATTGCATTATATTTAATCAATAAATTATATGCATTCATTTCCTTTTGGAAAATTTGACTTAGAATTTATAGAATATAAATTATAATTACCTCCCTTTATTTACATGAAATGTTAAATTCGGTAATATCTTTATAAATAATGCTTATTGGAACTTACAATATTGACAAATCTTTATTTCATATCATCATATTTTTGAAATCAAACCATGAAAAAATGTGTTACAGGATCTTTAACACTATAAGCCGTTCATTTCTACATCACATGTTGAATTTTTCTGAATGTGTAAAGTTTATTGTTTATATTCAAGCAGTTGTGATAACTCCTGGAAGTAAATAATCAGAATTCCTAAAAGTCGAGGTAGTTTCACTGGCCTAAGTATGTGTCACTTGCCTATGTATGTATACTGTAAAAGTCAGCAATGATAAAAATATCATGAATTGCCTTCTCTTATGACCAAGATACTGGAAATGTTGTTCAAACCTGTTTATATAATGGTTAAGAAATATGTCTTTATATGCACCAAAATATGAATTAATGAGTTATAGCCCACAAATAAAAAAGCGGTTTTTGCTTGTTAATGCTTTCTGTGCCTCCTGCTACACAGTAGCTAGTACTTGTAATATGCATACTTCAAAAAGTCACTGCATATATGAAACAAAACTGTCTAATCACCTCTCAAAACAAGTACTGAATTTGCTATAATCGGTCGACATGTGTGAGCATTGATTTATCTTGTTTTGTGATATTTGGGCTTCATAACATCTGATCCCAATTTAAAGTTACATTTTATTTAGATCTGCTAATTGTTTTCCCGTTTAATGTCTGTACATGCGATGGCACAAAGTTTCAAATTCAAAGTTTAATTTTGACGCATTTTATGATCACCGTGGTATGAACACATCTAAGCTTATTTCGAAATTAAAGTTTCAAACAAGTGTCAAAATAGACATGTAGATATGTTCAAATGTTGAATACACCTTCAGCCTGTGCTAACTGCATGGAGTCATTCATCTACCACTTCCGTCTAGAAACAGGCTCGGTTTAACCGAGTTTGCAACATTTCACTCTTGCCGTATTTGACGTTCTTCAGGCATTCTGATCCTTTCTTTGATATATACACTAGAAAGAAACCGATTTCATTATACGAAAAACAAATAAACAAACCTGCAGGATCAGATGTATACTTGTATGCAAGCATAACGCTCTCGGACTTATTTAATCTTTATAAATGTCTCGAACAGCGAGCTTAAAATGTGTTTAAATGCTTCTGCAGATGTGAATGCACGAAAAAATGACACTTTAATACTTGCCGATTTTATGTTAATCTCATGAACAAGTCATTATAATAGTGATTTACCTGTGGTCACTGATGCATATTATAGCAAACGGATTAAATACTATATTTAGGTAGCTTTATTTCTGTGTGAAACTACTTCCTTCTAACAATATTGTAATAACGGATATCATTTAAGTAAATATTTAAAATATACAGATATAGTTTATTTTAGCATGTGACATTATTTTAACTTGTTAGCCTTTATAAATGGCTATTCTCGAGTATTGCAATTATATATTTGCAAAAGGCGAAAATTAAGTTTCCATCATACTTACCTACCCATTTTGTGATGAATCTAATTGATTTGTTTAGTTCAAACCACGTGAAAAAATGAAATGTAAGTTTTACAAAGTATGTTAAAAGTAAGAAGCCAGCAAAATGTTTAATTGTTCTTTTATTAAATCCCACAATACCAATTCTTTCAACTATATAATTTGTTATTTTGTTAACGTAACTAGTTAATTTCGTTCATCAAAATACGATCTTATTATTCTCGTATCTTATTGAGACAGATACTGTGGTAACATCCCTTCTAATATTTGTTTGACGACCGTGTACGTGTCATTTTAGACAGTTTCATTTGATACAATATTAATACCAAAACAAAATCAATTTAAGATTGTTTTTTTAGTTTAATTTTTATATGAAATTTACACTTACATATTAATATAACAACATATTTACTATTTTATAAATGTTTCGCATTTTACATTATTTTCCTTTTATAATGTTAGATTATAGCATGTATAACGTCATCTTGAAAACGGTATCAATTATACAAGCACTGTTTGTTGATAAAGTACCGAATAAGGGTTTTTCGCTGCGGTGACTTTTTTTGTGTGTAATCTGCGGTCACTGTCATCACCACACAAATAAAAATCGCAGAATATTCCTCCATGTCTATTACGGTATAACGAATAAAGATATTTTAATATCATATATAGTGTTTGCCGGTACGCTAACATATTTCATCACCACTATATCGTTCCAACCATTTTAACACTTATACTGCTAAATAATCGTCGTATACTTCAATTGTTTACTTCTTTACGTTAAATATCTATCACTGTTTTTTATTAAGATTAAAGATACTACCGGGATATATTTTTCACACGTCAATTCACGCTGATCAAAAGATGCATACTTCCTATTGTTTGGGCGTTTTATTTGATTTTACGCGAAATATTAATTACTGTACTGTTTACGGTGACGACAATAAACAAATACAAATGTGTACATGCACATGTTATACGTAGAGTAATGTGACTGAAATTTTGATCAGATGAGCCGCAAAATTTAAATCACGTTTTGTCCAAAGAAGGTGCTACAGAATTTGGAGCCCACAGAAAAAAAAACACTTATACGGTATTTGTTCGTATATACCTCTGAAAAATAATTCCAAATGAATTTTAATAGCTTATCTACAAATTAGAGAAATAAAATTTGGACAAGTCTTATCTTTAAATATTTTGTATCAAATTACGGAAATTTATAAAATTATTATGCTGCTGAACGATACGTTTGACATTGGGTCGTATTTATATCTTTACATTAAGCAAATAACAGTTAAAACAGCTCTTAGAGTATATATCAAACTTCAATGCATTTTCATTAAATTTTGTTTTTCGTGTTACGAATATTCTGTTTGCTTCTCACCTTGAACTCGTAAGACACGTTTGAGAGTGAATCATCTTACCTTTTTGTTCAATAGGTAATATGAACTGTGAATCATATTGCTTCAGAAACTGTACTTCGTGTAATCAAAGATAATATTGTATTCATGCAACATACTAGTAATCAATATTTTGACTGTGATAGTAAATATATAGATGACCCGGTATATTGTTATCAATGCAAGTCTGGCCCTGCTTTCACTAACGTTCTCAAAGTCAAAATTTCAGCTCAAAACAAAGATTTTCTCAAATCAGAAATTGAGATTGAGATGTTTCCCTGTTTGGCTTTGACTAAAACATATTAAGAAAAATCTCAACTTAAGATTTGAGATTTTTTCAGATATATTGAGACAAGGTTTGGCTGTCTCAGAGTATGTCTCAGTGAAGATAAATTATTATTCTCAGGGGTATTTTTACTTTCTGCATAGTTATGTTGATAAATAAACATAATTTGAACATTTTTGGCAAATAAAATTCCTATTAATTTCATAAATTAAAAAAAAATGACTGATTATTGTGGGTGACATCATGCTCTCTAATTCATGACGTCATGAAATTATGACGTCAAAATAATCATACAAAAAATAATTTATTTAATTTTGTTTCGTTTTCATTTAAATACTGTTTGCTAGATATACATTCATTCTTGTTGATAAATTACTTTCATAAGCATTCAAATATTCATATATCTGCAACTGCTTCTTTTTGTTTTTGTTGTTTTTTTAAATAACACAAGAAAATATAGATCTACATAATGTAATAAATAATCGAAACATTTCCCTGTTGCGTCACTTAATAAAAATAGCAACTATATACTTTGTAACAAAAAAAACACATATTTTAGTCATAGAAACCCACCAGCAGTGCACACTAAGATAGCAGCGTGTGTCTTGAGAGAGTAAAATAGTCTCAGTTGAGAAAATTCTCAAATGTTGAGAAAAAGTTAACTAAAAGTCACCTTGAGTTTTTTCTCAGGTGAGTAAGAATCTCAGCCAATATTAAGACAATCTTTAGTTGAACTTTATCTCAGTTTGAGAACGTAGTGAAAGCCGGACACGGACTCTATAGGCTTATTTTCGTTTTGGGCTTTTTGGGGGGTTCAACATTTCTCTATATTATCTGTCAAACATGAATACACTTGTGGTATATATGATTGTATATCTGGGTATTATCATTATAAAATCGGTTACAAAACAGTATGACTAACTTGTTCGTCGAATTGTAATTATTGTAGGGATGGAAAAACATGTTAATTATGCACAGACGGGTTTTATCTCCGTCTATAGATTTGCTAACTGTAGTCTTCTCTTTGTGTCATGTTTTAAGGATTTCAATGTTCGGACTAATGTGTTTTTCAAGACTGGGGCCAATGTAAAGTGAACTGTCGGTAAGCACTGGTATTCCAGCGGGACAGAGATGAAATGGGTAAATAAGTGAAATGCATGAACGTTTCAAAAAGGCTCAGTAGAAAATGAATTATTTGTATTCAGTGCAATGGTGACTTTATTTTAACAAGCTGCAATGTACTTTACCATCGTTCTTATAAAGTAAGAGATGGACATGCAAACGATTACTGTTCAAATGTGTGTATACAAAGCTCCTGGGGCGAAATCATAAGTACAATCTGGAGGGATGTAAATATCATAAATGTAACGAAATATAATAGAAAAAACGTTACACGTACTTTGTGGTGTGAAGACTGATCCCTATGATACATTTATTTTTAATTTCTACGGGGCATACAAGAAGTTTATTTCTTTAAACTAGACAGTATATTTTATGGAAATAATAATAGTTGTATGAAAAATAATGTTTTTAACGTAAAGTATTGATATAAACATTTATATTTAAATATAAGAACCTGATAACACTAAAACGAAAGCATTAATTATTCAGCAACAAGTCAATGCCATAAAACACATAGCTATTAAAACCTTTTGATAATAAGCCTTTCCTGAATATACCATTAATAATCAGATACATCATGAAACATTATGTTTAGTAGGCTCTTCAGTTCTTGCATGCACCTTCAAGTGGTCCAAATGTTTTATGCAAGTATCCAAAATGAAATTATCATTACATCTTCGTCATGACTGACCAGAACATCTGTATTATTCACTAATTTATAAATATTGATTTGGAATAATATACAGAAATAAATATAATTATTAAAACAATGTTTTGTTTAACTGACTGCTTTCCAGATTAAACCTTAAGCACGACAAGCAAATAAGTTAATATCGGCCGACATATTAACCAACGTTGTAAATCATTTATATTATAACATACAAGCTTACTGTACATATATAAGATGTTTATATTTAAGTGCACATATTGCCATTTTATACTTGAATAATTTGCGCTAAATTAAAGGTGTAGTTTTATTTACAAAAATCTCACAACGAGCTCATTTAAACAAGGTATCTGTCTTCAAATAGCGGCGATTAGGACATATCAACCTAACGAACTAACAATTTAAAGTTTACGCTTAATGAAGCCGCGATTTTAACAGATCAGTTTAAACATAATCATCCTTTTCAGCTCGATTGCGAAACAAGTTCTCACAACTTATATAAATTAATTTTAACATATAGAAGACACAAATTAACGAGATCAACTCATGACTTTATGTTTTCAGTGTCATTTTTCTTCACGATTATTACTTCACAAAAAAATTGATTGCAACTGAATTTATACTGCTTCTCAAATTTGAGCCTCAAGATTTCGCATTTTTAACTAATGAATTGAATTTACAATTTCAACTTCACAAATCTGCTTCATGAATTTACAATATCAAATAAATGAATTTAATTTCATGAATTCATCTTTGTTAAGTTTAAGAGAAAATTTGTGAATTTTTGAAGTTGCAATTTTTCAATAATTCAATTGGAATTTTGATAACGTGAATTTCAACATTCAAAATCGTGTTTTAATGGGATTGAACTCAACAAGTCATGAAGTTGAACTTTTGGACACTTAAATTCATGATGAAGCTGAATTCATTATTAGTGAAATTGGAAGCGTAAATTGCTTTTAGCTTAAATCTTGAAATTATGAAGTTTCATTCGTGAATATGGGAAGTTCTTATGTCACCACCGGGCTTTCATAAATATTTATTCATTAATGTACTTTAATTATATGTTTCATATTTGAATACATTTAAAATCTTCCTAAAGTAAAGTATTATTTACTTTCATAGGTATAATTTAAGTATTTTCTTATAATTGCAACAAAATGAAACGATGTTGTTCTTTTTTACTATGTTGATCCGAAAAGTTTCGCATCTAAAAATAACCATTAGACTCGCTTAAAATGGAGTCACTGATGCATACCGTGTCTTTTCAAATCACACTTATAAAGAGGAAGTTTTGAACCGATTTATTTGGTAGTGATTAATCAGGTATTTATATTTTATATATTTTGTTCGTTTTAAGGAATGCTTAGTGATATTTTTATTTCTTTTGCTTCTTGAAACAGAAATTACGGATAACTTTATTTTGATAATTCTTTGAGTAAAATTATACAAGTCTCAAAACTGTTTATTGAAGCTTTTTTGTACTTGAATACATTTTACCTTAATTGTTTAATACATTTGATATGTTTAAAATATTCTATTCTAATGCATCTACAACTTCTAGTACATATTGGTACTATTTTGAACTTGAAGATACGTATAACAACGGAAATGAAGGATTGTAAAACTAGCATCGTTTAGTCATGCTAAAAACATAATATATTTGAGCGAAATGCCTATACGTTGATTACATAATTATCGGTTTAAATATGTATTATTCTCGTTTATAGATTGGTTTTCATATTTGAATACGGAATAATGTTGTCTCAGGAAACGTCAGCAATCATACTTATATTGCTCGTTGATATGGTATTAACTCGTAAGTGTTTTAACGTCATGATAATTTGAACTTAAAGGATACAAATGCGTTGATTTCAGTTGCAACATGTTTTTTCCTAAATGATTCTATAAAAGTTTGACATTATATGCGATCTATATTTTAAACTTAATTTGATATTTTGTTTTCACGTTTAAATCTTTTATATACACGTATATATAAAATCTGACTTAGCATATTTATAGTTCCGTACATATATATTTGGAAATACAAATGTATATATGCAACTTCTAATTTGTAAATATGATAAAAATACATATTTACAGAATGTCCTGCTGGCTGCACATTATGTTCCGGTTCAAATTGCACAAGTTGTGAATCATCTTACTTTTTATCAAATGACTTTTGTTCACCATGTCCCGATAATTGTGAAAGTTGTAACAGCTGGGATGAATGTATTTTATGTAAGTCAAATAAGCATGGTTTGCATGCAAGATGTGATTTCAACTGTGATGGTAATTGTCTAAATAGTGAATGCGATGATAATACTGGAGATTGTACTCAGTGTAAGCCTGGTTTCTATGGATTTCAATGTCAACACAACTGTAGTTTATGTGAAAATGAACGTTGTGATTTACGTACATGTTCTAGTGGTTGTAGAGCTGGATATTATGAGTATAAAACCGATGTCGAAACAATATGTCAAAATTGTCCGTCAAATTGTAAACATTGTACGGATGGAAAAACATGTTATATTTGCAATAATGGTTTTCACCTCTATAAGTTTAATGACAATGTTCACTGTGTGTCATGTTCGCAAGAATCGCAATGTCCGGACTGTGTTATTCAAGGTTGTAACCAGTGTCAAATACACAATGATTCGTTAGTCTGCGCTGATTGTCCAGAAGGACAAATATTCAATGGTAAAACATGCGTATCACACACATCATTGTGCTCAAAAGAATGTTCTACGTATTGTGATAGTACTGGAATATGTCAAGGAGAATGTAATGAGGGCTGGACTGGTGAAAAATGTTCCGAACAATGTAACAGCAAATGTTTAAAGTGCTCAAAAGATAACGGAAATAGTTGTCTACTGTGTAAAGGTAATTTTTACTCAACCGATTGCAGTTTAGCCTGCAACACGGCATGCAAAGTAATTAGTGTTAAACATACATGTGAACAGGCAGACGGTAATTGTTTAAACGGATGCAACCAAACCCTTTGGGGCGATACTTGTGAGCAACCTTGTCCTGGCGGATGTAAAGATCTTAAATGTGATAGAAACAATGGTGCATGTACAGATGGATGTAAGGATGGACTGATTGGAGATAAATGTACTCAAACTATCACAATTGGTAAACAATCTGCATATGATTACTGTCATAAATGTATTTCAAAATTATTATATCTAAATTATTAGTTACTTATATGAATTAAATCATATCTATAATTATCATAAGTATGGAATATTCATAATTATTTCGACCTTTCTAATAGTGGCATAAAAGTGATACTGGAAGTACCTTATTTACCTTGTTTATATGTGTAAGTATTAGTTTGGGCATTGGTAAGTTTTACGTGCACACCAAGTAGTTATACGTTTAAACGTTAAACTATTGTAAAGTTACAATAAGATATTATGCGCACATACTACTAACACAGCCTCACTGAATCATATTCATAGTGAACAGAGATATGTAGTCATTATGTTTTTTTTATTTGGATTAAAGTAGCATTTAAGAGACATTGATCCAAAAGACTGCTTTAGTCATTTTATGGCCTACCCGGGAATTGAACAATCAATGTTGAATTTACACATTTTGTGCTCTAACAGAGCAGAGGGAGTTGGCTTGATATAGAGTTTATGACGAACAAATTTTTCCAGTAATCATATAGTTAGGTTTATATCTATAACACGTCAATGTTATATCTTCAGAAACATCAGTGACAGCAACAACAACATCAGCAGCCGGATCTGTAACACAACAACCGGACGATAAAGCTAATATATTTACGATTGGTTATTTCTCTGGATTCGGATCTTGTGCTGCCATAGTAGTATTTGCTGTATTGTTTTACATTTTAAGACGAAGGTGAATGTATTCGCTAATATGGTAGTGAACAAGATTTTTGTTCTTCACTTATTTAACAGTATACAAGATGTGCATGTCTTCTTAATGTAAAACAAAGTTTCTTTACTGGTGAATCTTAATAAGTATGGTAATAAACATGACGTTATTGTGCTATTTAATTATGATTTAATTGCCATGTTTGCACTATAAAGTTGATTATGCTGGTTGTGTTTTGTTTACATTTTTACCTAATTCTTAAAATACACTTCATATGTAATTATGTATAATACTTTTATAAATTTTATTCAGGTATTTTCCAAGTAAAACACCCCAAGGTAACACAAGTAACGTTGAGATTCCAACATAATATAACACTAGAACTGATTTCGTAGCTGTAAATGCTGAGTCAGCAAATGTGACTTATAATTACGAGAGCTTAAATAATAACAGAACCACGGATAATGTATACAATGGTAATTGTTATGTTATTTTCTTCAACATTCAAGTTGGTAAATCTAGAATTATGATAAGTTTAAATACTTTATTTCATAATTACTCATAATATTTATTTATTTATTTATTTTGTTAATATATTTATTTTCAGATCTAGGAACAACATTGTCTTAGATGCAAGAGAAATAAGTCTTACTAGTGGACACATCAAAATAAACTTTTAGACTGTATTTGTTGTTTCCCTTATTCAGTACATACGAGGGCTGTTCAAAAAGTTCGTGGACTGCGGCTCTACTGTTCACATCTTTTAATTTGCGTATATGATTTTACAAGAGACATATATGAAAATATGTCCTTAATAAACAGTGAAAAAATCAATACAATATGTTTACAAATAACAATTCTGTGACAGTTACAAATCACAAGGGGTGCGCTGATGATGAAACAAAATGACGTTCGTGACGTCGCAATATAAATGAAACATTTTACCAGCGTCATTGTTTCTGAAAGTACTCTTTTTAGTGTTCAATATCTGCGGATCATATACCAAAACCATTTTTCTGTGATGATGACCCGAGATATAAAGTGGTCATCTATTCGCTCCATTCTCCGTATAAAGGTCCGAGTGCCGCATACTTTCCGCTCTTTATCGGGATTTTTGGGTAATTTAGACACTAAACGGACAGTGTTATTAAGTTAATTCAATTGTTGATTGATAGTATCAATTTGAAACCGCCCTCGTCCGATCTTTAAACAATATGATTATCGATGATAAAGAAAATATTTTATCAACTGACAATTATTCTATGCGGTAAATCTACTGAACACCGGCTAGCATTAATTATCAAACGGACCAGGGTAAATACAGGAAATACAAATAATAACTACAAGTATTTATTGTAAAAACGCATATATCCTGATGAATGAAATAAAGTATTATTTTAAATAAATTGTTTTGTCAGAATTGAATGCATAGACCCGATGCAGAAATTAAACATGTCGGACATCTCGCAAAACTGTCATAATGTCTGAACTTCTGTAGATCTTTTGCAATTGACGTTACAAACGTCCCAACAATTTGCCGCTAAAATTATTCGTCGCCCTTTCTGTCTGTGAGCATGTATTTGTCGTATTTGAATCGCTTGCCGACCTGAAACCAAAAGACTTGCTCGACAACTCATTGTTTTTCGTTAATTTATTCACCTCTTAAAAATATAAAGGAGTATACCACATTTATTGGTAAAAAATTACGAAAGAGCGAATTTCTAGTTTTTAAACGGGGTTTATTCTTCCCAACTTACCCGTCTGTCTACTGCTGCTCAAAACCTGTTTGTTCAGCTATTGAACGTCCAAACGACGCCAAAAGTCAGATTTATGTCATTTAAATATTAATAGATGATTACTTGTATTTAACTTCGTAAAACAATCATTTAATTTGTTTCAACATTTGTTTATATTTAAACATTATATGAAAATTTCGGCGTGCGCCGATGTTGCGTTGCCATGGTTATTAAAGTGCACATAACTCGTAAAGGAAATAAAAGTTAACAATAAAAGTAAATCTTACTTTTGAAAATAAAGACACTCTTTCGATTCATATCCACTAAGGGTGTTTTTATGAACCAAGTAAAAAATGACAGCAAAAATCCACGAACATTTTGAACATACCTCGTATTTTATGGTGGTGATAAAAGCTTTATATTCTTTATCCCAAACAAACATTTACAACTACGAATTTGAAATTGGTTCCTTTGTGTGTGAACACTAGAAGCTTTAAATATCTATTTTCGATTATGAATACTGCCTTGAATGTTGCAGTATGGTTTGGAAAGGCTTTAATTTGCAGTTTAGAAATCTAAAATCAGTCTCCTTCCAAAACTCATTTTAGTTTGTGTTTCAAAGGAAAATGTCCTTTGTTATTACTCCTTTGTTATGACTCCTTTTATTTCTGAATAGCAATGCTCATGAAAATTAACATGTTGTGGATTAAATAGCGCGCTTTTGTATTTAGGAAGACGATTTGAATCAAAGTCTAAAGTATCTGACTAAAGGAAGAAACATTGAAGCGGTCATTTGTTTATTGTAAAAGTGGTCTGATTCATTCGTATACAATATTCTGATTTAGTCTGTGAAGTGGAAGCGAACCTTTTTAGTTTTACTCAACCATAATGGGTCAGTCTTTAAACTGATTTCACCAATTATTCTATCACGCTAAATTCACGAGAAATAAACATTGAAAATCAGTTGTAAATTGTGTTTCTTTCTATAATGAAATACAGTAGAGATATCGGGATTATATTAAATTGTAATATAAATAGATAACAGAGAAATAATACACTTACTTTCAGAATTAAAAGTAGACCAATTATCAAATACAAAGTTCCTTTCCTTCTAAGTACTTTTAAGTAAAGAAAATTGTTAGTTTTAGCACTTTCAATACTTAAAGTTTTTGTTAGCTTAATAGCCATTTTTGATTTCATATTATGATATTTTCAGTGTTAAAATACGTCGAACCTAAGGAAAAGTTACATTCCTTATACATTCTGAACTTGTCATTTGGTGTTTTCTTTTTGTGTCGCCTGCTACAGAGTGGTGTCACAAATCTTGTCTGGACCTCTCATGATTAACAGCTTGTGCAATTTTATCCAAACTTTACAAGAATGATCGGTACCAAAATCTTATTATGCATATCGCCAGTATGTATATTTCTTAAAGCATTTCCCGGAATTCTTTTCCTATACTACGAGGAATTAACAGATCATACTTGTATGCAACATTAACAATTTGGACTGATATCTTTTTTGAAATTTATCGCCTTGCGTGCTCGGATTGCTTTATTTTGCTTCTGCATGTGTTAATTCACGAAAAAGTACATTATCCCTTTACTACTGTACTGGCATATTTTATCTTCATGACATGGAAATGTCATTACAATAAAGCTATACCTGTGGTAACTGATGCATATCATATATATTGTGTTTTTATTGTCGACTTTATCAATTTGAATAACATCATTTTGCGCATTAAATAGTGAATGAAATAACTATTTTATGTATGTATGTATGTATGTATGTATGTATGTATGGAGTCATTGATTATGCTCTTTACATGCTGCATTATAGATTTGTAGAGGAAGTTTTAAACGTGTTTTAATTTGCAATGATTTTCTTTCGGTAAATATGTTTATTCGTCCTTGGTTAATTGTAGAAAAAAAACGATCGTTTCTTGTTTTATTTTGCTTTCTTGCTGGAATAGCAGCTATTATTTTGGTAAGGATATTTACAAAACTTGTTTATTCATACAATATAAAATTGAAGTTTGTCAAAGCTTGATTGTGAATTATGAAATATGAGCTAATTAAAGTGACACTTTAAAGTTTTGAAGTTGAGCTGAGTAAGTTATTTATTTCAAAAGATTGTCATCATAATTGACAAATAATTGCATGACAGATGTTGAGGTTGAAAGTTAATATACCTAAATTATAGCAAGGCTGTACTAATCATTTTGAAAAAAAGAAAACTTACGATACATTCTCAACGATATTTATAAAATATTTTTTGTCACGTGGTTTATTTATATTTTTATATGGTAAAATATAAAATGGGACACTATTATGACTAAAAAGTTTACTTTAAATTTTAACTTTTCACTTACCATTCACACTTTGATAAAGATTATGTCATTTTATATACTGTTCATTAAAGCCATATAATGCCTCAGAAACTAATAAATTGCAATTTCTTAAGAAAAAAAAGATTTTTTTAATGTTCAAATGATGGTTGCAGAGCATGTTAGATGCTTCTTACCTGAAAATAGTGGCGATAATTGTGAAATAACACGACTGTCATAAACAAAATGTAGACAATTTATATTTTGTGTTCTTTATAATATATATCACTATTGCTCTAATTGCCAAAAAGGAACAGAAAAAAGATTCAGGTAATTAGATGAAAGAGTAATTTTGTGGAGACTATAAAAGTACAACAGAATTGAGTTTTAAGAAATAAAAATAAAAGCATTTCTGTGGCAGAATTGGCTGTTAGTTTGCATATTGTACACGATATCTCGTAAGATATATAACATACTCTTCTATTTTCTTCCACTTAACCTATAAAAAGTGAAGAACAAATCTAAAAGAAGCATTGTTATGTTATACTTATATTTGATAGTATGCCAATACATTCATTATTCTTGATTTTAGTTGGCAATACATAATACAGAATAATGTTGCAACATCTTAGGTCAGTTTCCGTATTCGTATTAGCAGTACATATTGACATTGTATTTACAGGTAAGTATTTTTAGCTCATGATTACTCAGCAAGAGAGTAAAGTGAAAGTTTATAACTGTCTATTCGCCAAAAATATACAAATATTTTGAAAAAAGTAAAATTCACTATACACAAATTAAGTAACTAATGACTGACCTTGCAATATTTATCACTACATTTCCATTGACTAAGGCAGGCAGGACTATTTGTGCATAATCTTATCTATTTTTGGTAGACTTTAAGTACTGTTTGTAATGTGAAAACACACTGTTTTACTCACTTGTCATTATTGTCACTTTTCAATACATTTTGTTGTGAAAATTATGAATATGGAGGCATGCTGCTTTAAAGTGACATTATGCCCATTCAAGGTCATACAGTGAGTGAACAGGTGAAAGTCAAAATAAGTTTTTATATTGCAATTATTCCATTTAAATTAATAATTTACTTCACATAAACAATAGATAACCCTAGGATTGAAACGGAATTTCTGTAAATATCAATTAAAACTTACCTGAAATGTTTAGTTATAAAATGAGAGGGGCAGTTTTTTATATTTAAGGCAGATTTTAAATTTTATCTTAAACATTTTCAAAAATAAACTGTTGGTCAAACACCATTTTAACAGTCAATCTTTGGAAATAAAAGGTCAACTCAGCTCAACTTGACTATGAAAATATGAGCATAATGTCACTTTAAATGCCTATTTATATTTCAAAAGCCTAGTCAACTGATCTAATGTTATTCATTTACTGCTGTTGACATTTTACTTATATTTTGGTTAGGTCTTTTATTTTGTCTTCTAATAAAACACATTTATCATATTCAATTTGGTTACTTTCATCAAATTTGATTTTTTTTTTTTTTTTGGAATTTGTATCAACTAGAAATATCTAAAACTATAAAATATGCAGAAAGGGTGCCGATCATGCTCTGGTATGCAAGTTGTTAATATTTTTTTTAATTTTTATTAAATGGCTACTATTCAGCCTTATTGTGAAACCTGTATCACCTGCAATGAGTGATCCTTATGTAAACCAAAGAAATAGTGTTTACTTGTAAAATGCACCGACAATTGTGATTGTAATTGTCTCAAAATTGAATGCAAAGATGATACTGGATACTGTTATGAATGTTATCCTGGGCTCTATTGTCTTTGTAGTATTTTAGTCGATGAACTCTGCGATTAACGTGCATGCTTAAGCAGCTGTAGAGATGAATTATGAGTATACCTCACGTGTTAAAAACATTTGTAAAATATGTCCTTGTAATTTTAAACATTGTAAAGATGGGAAAACGTGTAACTTTAGCTAGTATTATAAAGATATTGTACGCTGTGAGTCATGTTAGCATGAACTGCAATGTTCGGGATGTGTTATAGGACGTTGTAACAAATTCTAACACGATCGGAGATATCTCTTATATTAACAAAGAAGGTCGGAAGCGTGATATATTTTACAACAATCCCCTCGCCATTCTTATTTCCTCCCTCCGTATTTTTAAAATGACACATTGACAGCGCCATTTATAAAAAGCAACATTTTGGTGAATTTTGTTCTGAAAACAAAAATCATGAATGATAAAAAATGGTGTAATAAATCCGAACACCAAAATCTTTAATTCAGTCATGTACGCTGTACATAAGTTTGAATCGTTGTTTACCTGACGTCACAATGTACCACCAAACAGTTCAAACAAGAACGCTATTTCAATGTCGCAAACCAGTTCAATTTCATATTTATTTCACTATAAATACTCTGTATTTCGCTTGAAAAATATAAAGTTAAATAAATCAACACACAAAAATTTCATCAACATTTTCAAGATTAATTTTTCTGCAAACTGTAGACTTAGCAAAAAAGTTTTTCAACCGACTGGAGCAGCCTTTAAAGAACGTTTCTATTGGAAACTCTAAGGCGAAAACAAATTCAACCAGCAAACATATTGTCCAACTATATATTTTTCTTGACATGTTTGAATGAAAATAGATATTAATTCTTTGTACATTATTGTACAATTACGCATTTTTTGTAATTAATCATACATCGGCGTGCGTGATTATATTCCTACACATTTGCACTCAAACCGTGCATTATTCTACAACAATTCACTCAGAATTGATAGCTATTTCCTTAATATGTTTTAGTCGACACAAGTTGTACAGAGAGACAAAACTTTAATCGCAACACGTGTGGAATATATCATCGGGAATATAATGATGGCTGGCTTGGTGACAGATACTTAAACTAATTTTTTTTAAGTGCCATTATTTGTCGGCATGTAAGATTAATTTTACTCAATCGATTGCAGTTTAGTTTGTAGTCAGCCACATGAAGCAGATGTTGGTAAAAACATTTGAACTGAAAACACAGATAAGTTAAATTGTAATACATATTAAGACAATATTTCAATTGTTCTTCTGTGTTTTATCTCATTCACTTCTGAAGTAATTTATCAGATTGATATGGAAAGCTTTTGGTCCGAACAGATACGTGTTTGCATTTTAAGCACTCACATTGTTACGTAACTCGTTATAACTCTCAATTTTGGTTGGTGAAAATGTTTTTTCAATGAAAGTAATAAATGAATGATTTTTGACCGGTCTTTGTCCAATTTTAATACGGGTTATGTTGTATTACTAAAACATGTTCATTTACCATCATAACGTTATTCGTTATGCTATTATGTATATTGACCTTCTGCAATATTATGACAGGGACAACAAGAACACCAGCAATAACTGCTACACAACAAAATCTATCCGTGAGGCATGGAGATCGAGTCAACCATTCTACCATTGGTTCCTTCTATGTAATCCATAGTTCTTATTGCTGTTTTGATGTATGTTATAAGATGGAGGTAATGCAATATAACATATGCGCCCTTAATGTATAACACATTATTGTTGATAATGTTGTATTGAATGCAATGTTCTTTATTATCATAATAATTCTTTAAAACGTTTTAACGTTTTTTTTTTGTTTGAGAACTGTCAATGTGACAACTATGTATTACTTTAAAATTTTTGATTATTTTACAGGTACTTTACACTTGAAAATCCCCAAGATAGCGTAAATAATGTTGAGATTCCTACCTACTATAACACGGGAACTGGTTTAGAATGTGTAAACGTGGAGTCAGACGATGCTGTTAACAACTACGAGAGTTTAAGCAACAACAGGGTCACAGATAATGTGTACAATGGTAACTGTTATGTTTTCGGTATGGTATTACTAGCAACAGTCACAAAATCATAAATAATTACCATATTTGTAATATTTTAATTGCCTTCTGCAAAACTAGATTAAACATGTCCATGCATAACTCTTACAAACTAGTTACAAATATACTATTTTTATTTCCAGATCTAAACACAGCAATGCCATAGATGTCAGAGGAATGGATTGCAATTATAAACTATTGAAAGCAACGACTTGCTAGACTGTATTGTTTGTTTCTCAAGGCACGGTTTATAAAATTAAAAAATTATTTCTATGACGATACTGATAATAAAACATTATCCTTTGATTGTAAGGCTGAAAATGAAAAAAATATTTGGTAACAATACTTGTTGAACATAAATACTTGTAACTACTATACCTTTGGATTCTATACCTATATTTTTCACATAATTATATTGTTCGATACGTTCACTTGGAAATGTTCTGAACAAAGTGAAAATGAATTTTTGAAAAATAAATATGTTGACTACATGTATTATGCTCAAAGATTTACTAGTATAAGTATATTGACCTACAGAATCCTTTCTGCAGAAACACTAGCTACAACAACAGCACAGTAACTTTCACACAACACCAAACAACCGAAAGGTATAATACGGAGCCCCTTAGGTGACATTTTCCACACTTCTTCACCGGAACTTAATTCGTTTTTTAAAAACAATAATTCGTAATTACAAAATATTTATTCGTTTTTACGAAATATTATTTCGTAATTACGAAATATTAATTCGTAATTACGAAATATTTATTCGTTTTTACGAAATATTCATTCGTTTTTACGAAATAGTAATTCGTAATTACGAAATATTCATTCGTTTTTACGAAATATTCATTCGTTTTTACGAAAAATAATTCGCAATTACGAAATATTAATTCGTAAAAACGAAATGTTATTTCGTAATTACGAAATATTAATAAATTAATTATTAATACGAAAGCAGCGGCTGAATTCAGCAATTATACAAGAAAATGGTGAAATTTGAATTTAGAAATTAATAATCCGATCTATCCTGACATATTTTGTCAACAAGGGTCTACAGTTTTTGCGTGCACTTACACGTGATATAACAATATATATACAAGTTTCCATAATGAACTTCTTTTCACGTCTACATCATGAACAACTGATCAGAACATCATTCTGTATTCTTTACTAATTATAGGTTTGAAATCATATTCAGAAACAAAATCATAATTGTTACAAGTGCTTTGTCCTTTGTGACTATATATATTTCCTGTTATATTAATCTTAGTTTTACACACTGTGTAAACCATTCATTTTCACCTTGAATAACAAGCAAACAAGCAAATATCGGCCGTTAAACCAAACACATGCCAATTCACTTCAATACACATGTATTTACATTTCAGCTGGCAGTTACAATTTGTTTATATTGTAGTACACATGTATAATTGGCATTAAATTAAAGATAGAATTTGCTTTACAAAAAAAAATCTTACAGTGAGGTAATTTTAACGTGCCAACGTATTTAGCCATTGAAAAAACGCTTTAAAATAGCGGAGATAGACTAATGAATAAACAACTTCATGACGTCGCAATTTAAACATAATGGTTTAAACGTATTTATTTTTAGCCCGATTACAAAACAAGTTCTTACAACTTATATCAATTAATTTTGACAATTTTGAATGTTTAACTGCATAAATTTACGTTTCCAGCGTCATTACGTCACGATTTAAACATCACAAAAACGTGATAGCAACTGTATTAATTCACTTTAATGTATGTGAGCCTAACGGCCCGAGTCATGTATGAATTTACAATTTCAACTTGACAATACAACTTCATAAGTTTACAATATCAAAGTACTGAATTTGATTTTCTTGAATTCACTTTTTTCATCTTTACAAGAACTTGAATTTAATTTGTTAAGTTGAAGAATGTGAATTTGTGTATAATTGGATTTTAAATCATTCAATTATGAAGTTGAAATTGTGAGAACGTGAATTCGAACATTTAAAATCGGAAATAAGGTCGACATAATAAATTCATGAAGTTGAAATTTTGGAAACTCGAAATCATGATGAAGTTGAATATTTAAAGGTTAGAATTCCTTTAGCTTAAATCGTGAATTCATGAAGTTTAATTTGTGAATATGGGAAGTTTTAATGTTACCACTGGGCTTTCGTAAGTATGTTATACATTTAAAGTAGGGATGGCAACGAATACCAAAATCAATACTCGAGTACTCGGTCATTTTTCCGATCGGGTACTCGGTTACTCGGATGATTTCCAATGATATTTAAAGTTTTATCACACAATATCAACATCGTCTGCATGCTACTTTCGTTTTCAATTTTAATTCATAGAATTCGTAACTATGAATAGGACTGCAAGAAATACATATATAAATATAAACATAAGAAATGTCAATGACAGCATTTATTATATACCTTCAAATTTTCTCCCTAAAATACAGGATGAACTTGAAGCGCAAATATGTTTCAACGGATAGAAAAGTCCGTATTATATTAGTGACAAATACGGTACCATATATGGAAGTGCTGGACTATTTTTGACGTTGGTTCCGATCTTAGCTGTGTATAAACGTAGCATTTGGAAACGAAAACCAACATTATAAAAGGCGTGGCCGATTTTGCAAAAACTATGTATTCATCCGTCGGTCATAATTTTTTTTCTTGACAGCTACACTTAATTTTCTGAAATTTCTTATAGAAGTGTAGTATAATGAAAATCGTTTATAATTCAAACGAAAAGGTATATAATAAAAGAAAAATTATGTTGTAGTAGCTTTCTGAGCCTATGCATTTTTCTACTCGCAATGAAGATTTAAATTTTAAAGTACTGTTGTAATATGTTAAATGCTTGAATACATTTCAAATCATCCAACACTAAATTAATATTTACTTTCACAGGTATAAATTAAGTTATTTTTTCTTATGATTGCAAGGAAAAAACAAGTTTTTGAGTTTTAAGCGATTTTGTTCTTTTTTCGACCATACCAATCCGAATATTTTCGTGTCTAAAAATAACATTTAGAATCGCTATAAGGAGTCACTGATGCATACCGTATCTATTCAAATTACAAAGTTTAACGAGTAAGTTTTAAACAGGTTTATTTGGTAGTGAATAATCGGGTAGATATATATATTATATTTTGTTCATTTTAGGAATGTTAAGTGATATTTCTTAACTTCTTTTTCGTTTTTCTAAACAGAAATAACGGATAACAGTATTGTGATATTTTTTCAGTATAATTATGCAAGACTCTTTGCTTAAGCTTTATTGTACCTTAATACATTGTAACTTAATTTTATAATACATTCCACATGTTAAAGTGTTCTATTATAATGCATCTTAAACTTCTAATGCATGTGACACACCATTAGTACTATTTTGAGCTTGGAGATTCGTATAACCACAAAAATGAAGGATTATAGAACTAGCATCGTTTAGTCATGATTAAATCATAATATTTTGAACGGAATTCTTATACGTCGATCACATAATTATCGATATATATGTATCATTCTCATTAATATATTGTTTTTCATATTAATAGGAATAATGTTGACTCAGGAAACGTCAGCATTCATACTAATATTGCTCGTTGATATGGTATTTACTCGTAAGTTTTTTTTACTTCATGATAATTTGTACTTAAAAAATACAAAATTTAATGTGTAAATTTTAGTTACTTGTTTTTTTGTTGTTTTTTTCGTAAAAGCTTCTATAAAATTTTGACATTATATGATATCTTTTTTAAACTTGATTTTATTATTAATTTTTTGTGGTCACGTTTAAATATTTGATATATACATATATATTATATATATATATATATATATATATATATATATATATATATATATATATATATATATATATATATATATATATATATATATATATATATATAATGTTACAGAGCATATTTTAAGTTCTGTACATTGTATATTTAGAATTACAAATGTAAATATACACATTTGTAAAATATAAAAATGAAATGTATATTTACAGAATGCTCTGTTGGCTGCAAATCATGTTTTGAATCAACTTGCACAAGTTGTGAATCATCTTACTATTTATCAAATGGTTTTTGCTCACCATGCCCCGACAACTGTGAAAGCTGTAACAGTTACGATGACTGTACTTTATGTAAGCCAAGCAAGTTTGATTTACACGCAAGATGTATTTTCAACTGTGAGAGTAATTGTCTAAACAGTGAATGTGATGAAAATACTGGATATTGTACACAATGTCAGCCTGGTTTATATGGATATAAATGTCAACACAATTGTAGTTTATGTGAAAATGAACGATGCGATTTACGTACCTGCTCGAGTGGTTGTAGAGGAGCTGGATATTATGAGTATAATACCAGTGCTGAAACAATATGTCAAGATTGTCCGTCAAATTGCAAGCAATGTACGGATGCCAAAACATGTTATATTTGCAATTATGGTTTTCACCTCTATAAGTTTAATGACAATGTTCACTGTGTGTCATGTTTGCAAGAAACGCAATGTCCAGACTGTGCTATTCAACGTTTTAACCAGTGTCAAATGCATAACAATACGATATTATGCGCTGATTGTCCAGGACAAATATTCAATGGCAAAACATGCGTATCACATACATCAATGTGCCCAGAAGGATGTTCACATATTGCGATAATAATGGAATATGTCAAGGAAAATGTAATGAGGCTGGACTAGTGAAAAATGTTCCGAGCAATGTAGCAGCAAATGTTTAATGTACTCAAAAGATAACAGAAATAGTTGTCTACTGTGTATTGGTAATTTTTACTCAACCGATTGCAGTTTAGCCTGCAACCCGGCATGCATAGTAAAAAGTGATAAACATACATGTGAACATACCAACGGATACTGTTTAAACGGATGTAACCAAACATTTTGGGGCGATACCTGTGATAAAGCTTGTCCTGGTGGATGTAAAGATCTTAAATGTGTTAGAAACACTGGTATATGTACGAATGGATGTATGGATGGACTTACTGAAGATAGATGTACTCAAACGACCACAATCGGTAAACAATCTGCAAATGATTCCTCTCATAAGTTTATTTCAAAATAATATATTACTAAGTCTTTTTTTCTTCCTTTTTACTGGTATTATAGTGGCATTTAACAGATATTGGTCCGAAAGACTGTTTAATTATTTTAGTTGGCCAGCTCTGGAATCGAACACTCAATATCGAGATTACGAGTCTCTCGCTCCATCCGACTGAGCTTGATCTTAGACAACCGATAATGCAGTTTATCACAAGAACATTGTTTCTGTAATCAGTAAAGCAGAGTAAGCGTAATATCTTATGTACGTCAATGTTATATCTACAGAAACACCAGTAACAACAACACAGTCAACCCAAAAACAAACATGTGCACAATGCGACAATAAAGATTTTACCATTGGTTATTTCTCTGGATTCGGATCTTGTGCTGCCTTAGTAGTACTTGCTGTGTTCCTTTACATTATTAGACGAAGGTGAATGTATTCGCTGATATAGCTGTATAAAAGATAGTTGTTCTTCACTTATTTAATACTATACAAGATGTTTGTTCTTAATGCAAAACAAATTATTTTTACAGATGAGATAAATAATAATAATAATAATAATAATGATAATAAAAATAATAATAATTATACCAACAAAAATAATATAATAATAATAATAATAAGAAGAAGAAAATTATAATAATAATGATGATGATGATGACAATAATAATAATCAATTAATCATGGTGTTATTGTCGCCTTTTATCTATTATCTTCTAGACATGTTTGTACTTTCAAGTTTATTTTATTGGTTGTTACTTGCTTTTTTACCTGTCACTAAAATTGACATGTATAATACTATTATAAATTCTACGCTTTAACACAGGTATCTTGCAAGTATAAAGCCTCAAGACAACAAATCAAACATTGAAAATCCAACATATTATAACACTAGAATTGATTTCGGCGCTGTAAATGCTGGGTCGGCTGAAATGACTAATAATTACGAGAGTTTGGGTAATAACAGGACCACGGATAATGTATACAATGGTAATTGTTATGTGACTTGATTTACCTAGAATTGTGATAATTTTAAGAACTTGAGTCATTATTTTTGTTTATGATTGTTTATTTTGATTAATTAATTAATTAATTAATTAATTAATTAATTGATTAAGGATATATTATGTTATGTACTTGTTTATTTATTCATTTACTTATTGGTCTATTTATTTATTTGATATTAATTTATTTATTAATTACTTTATTTATTTATTTATTTATTTATTTATTGGTCGATGTAATTATTTGTTTATTTTCAGATCTAGGAACACCATTGTCATAGACGCGACAGAAATGAGTTTTAGTGATTAACTAGTGAAAACAACAAAATGAATTGTTACAGTCAGACTGATTATGTGGTTTCTGGGATCGTTATGATCATCTTAAAGGCTTATATAATCACTTCGAAAACGGCTTATATTCATGATAAGCTACTTGTATTAGGGGATGAAACTCTATTTCCTTCTAGCATATACTAACATGTAAAATACGACTAATGAGTTTTTCAAAATTATTGTACCTTGTTATTTTTTATATACGTTTTTTTCTCGAATATTTCAATCCTGAATTTGCAATATGAAATTTATACTTATATATAATAACAACACATTTTACATTATTTGTTTTATAATTTGTGGTTATAACATGTATACCATTATTCTTGAAATTATATAATATACTAAAAGTGTTTGTTGATAAAGTATTTTATCGTAAATACTTCTGCATGATAGTTCCCAATCAATTTATTCTGTTTACCTACAAATAAGACTGATACAATCTGGACAGGGCTTATACATTAAATGCGTCTTTAAATATTTTAATTCAAATTACGAAATTTATAATGTTAACAGTCGGCTGAACGACAATTTTGAAATGGTCGTTGTGATATATTTACGGTAAGAAAATAAATGTTAAAACAGCTTTAAGACTATATTTCAAAACATATCACTTAAATGTGTTTTAAATAAAGTTTGTGTAATTGTTGTTAAGATATTTTATTGGCTTTCAATCTTGAACATATGTTCGACATCATTAAGTTATGATCATCTTACTTTTTATCAAATAGTGTTCGTTTATTGTGCTATATAGTTTGGTATTATTGCTTCAATAAATGTACTTCATGTAAACAAACATTATATGGTATTCATGTAAGTTAAACTTTTACCAGTGTTGATAATTGTCTTATAGTAAATATATAGAGGATCCGGTATATTGTTATCAATCCAAGCCTTGTTTCTATGTGCTTATATGCAAGGTTGTAGATCTGGGTATTATCAGTATAAAACCGGTTGAAAACAGTATATCAAATTTGTTCGTCGCATTGCAATCATTGCTCGAATGTTGGAACATGTTAATTATACAATGATGGTTTTCATCTCTATAAATTCGATGGCAATGAAAACGGATTCCCTGAAGAAGAACACCAAAGAGCCTGTTCATGTACGAAACTGAAAATGCGAGTTACTGTCCCTGCGCCCTTAAGTAGAAAACAAAGACTCAAATACTCAAAAGAAAATAATTGAAATATTTGTCTACATTGCAATGGTGACATTATTTTACCAGAATGTAGTTAAAATATAGAAAACGGAATGATTTAAGAACGCCCGAAACGACAAAATTAAAAATGCTGCAGGCTCTTTTTGATTGTGCCTGTTCATGGACCGGCTTAAGCATAATTCGACATTTAAACATGAACATGGTGAAATTTTGAATTTATAAACATCAGCAGATGTGTTCACATGGCGGTTATCATGGAACCTTCAATGTGACACGTTAATGCCATTCCATTTCGGCCATCCATTATGTTCAGTAAGGGACAATAAAAGAACATGTGGACATGCAGATGGATAGGCTTAAAATGAGTGTATACAAAGGTCTTGGGGCGAAACCTGAAATATGTCAGATATGTTACAGGAAACCTGTAAACATGTTTTGAAGGATGCAAAGATCGATATCTAGTAGACATATATTTTCAAAATAGTACAGGGGTTCGAGTATGTATATATAGTTTCTATGATGAAGTACATTTTATGGATATAATAATATTTTTACAAAGGAATATTATCCTACGTTATACATCGATACAGAAAGTGCATAGATTTAGATAATTATAGGACCTGATAAGTATTAAGAATAAATACTAGAAAGCGAGCATTAATTTGTCAATAAAAAGACAATGCCAAAGAGTACACAACTGTTTACAAAGACTTTCCTGAATTTCTGAAAAGTATATATAATATTGATAATCCGATATATCATGAAACATTCTGTTAATAAGGCTCTTCAGTTCTTGCATTTACCTTTACGTTGTATATAATATTTATGCTAGTACATATACCACATCAAGTTATAACCACATCTACGTCACGCATAACTGACCAGAACCTCTGTATCCTTTTACTGACATTATGCTTATATTTACTTTTCTATTTTATTTCCTTCACTTCAATTACCTCCTTTTTAAGTATTTTTGTTTAGTGTATTTACAGCAACATTTTATTTTCTTACTGTCGAAAATTGTTTATTTTCATAATTTATTGCTAGATTAAATTGTGAAAGTGCTTTTTTAAATCTTACCTAAATCATTAACTCATGTGTTGATAAAGCATAGAATGTCTTTCATCAACATATATAGGTATATAACGATGTATTTCAAAATACTTTCCTCTGCTAGTAATAAATTCAAGATACATGATTGATCAAAGAATCCGTACATTGGCCGCTGTCTTTATACGCGTTTAAGTAAGTACATAATTCATCTACGTCGCGTGATATTTCATTCAAAACTTCATTTTTTATATTATGGAAAGCACGCCTGTAATTTTTCTTGTCACGTGATACGCTATTCGCACGTAAAAACATTACAGGCGCGTGATTAGAAAAAAATTGTAAACTCCTGTACATTGAAATAGTAAATCTAGAAAAATTACATTTATCAGTAAAACAACAAGACTTTCACCATTATGTGTATAGGATGTACAATGATCCGTATTAGCATCTTTACTTATACGGCCATTTACCACACGAAGGTCTAATGCTTTACATAAATCTAACAAAAGATCGCCAAAGCGATTTTATCCTTGATCTGTTGTTGCACGTAGTTAATATTCGTCCACTGAAAAATTTTGATCTCATAACTGTGAATCATTTTCTTTTACCAATGCCCGAGATTAAATCACTCGTATTCAATACATAGTATCTCGTGCTAGCGACTTCATTATCTCGTGCGCACGATTTAGTAAGTCGTGGCCACAACATAGTATCTCGTGCGCATCACTTAATATCTCGTGGGCACAACTTAGGAACTCGTTGTCACAACATAGTATCTTGTGAGCAGGAGATAAATAAATACACACACATTTCACATCTGTGCCAACGTATGAAACTGTTTATAACCATTTAAGTTTAATTTATAATTTTACTCGTCCATTTTTCATTTAAAAATATCAAATCATACTTATCAGTGAATTGTTTAAATGGGGGTATGTTATTTTCTGTTGGGTTAATCCCTCAACATTCCGAAATAAACACTTTATATTTCTCCTATTATTTTCCTTAATACGAGTATCGCCACGTTTGCCATCGCTGTATAATTCACCTTTGATGAAAAGTTTGCGTGATGTATGAAATATTTCTTGCCTTGAGAGCGCACCTCAAGCATAATCGTGACGAGGCGTCTCCCGGTCGCTTCAACGTCTTTCGGTATTGTTGACTTAAACAATATGGATTTGTCAGCCTACTCGCGTTTGCACGCACTCCTTTTCGGGAGAGATTGCAAATTTTGCGACGACGGGTGTTACTTTATTTGAATTGAATGGAATTGAATTTGAATTGTACACGCCGATTCTATGAGCAGTTTGCAAAGTTATTGATTTCTTAGCATTTTCATTGTTCATTTTGTTTTCAATCAAGTCATGAGCTTTTTCTCAACATACTCCCTTAGCTTCCGTTATCCCGAAAAATAAAATAGTGTCCCGCATACTTGTTTTTTTAACTTTAAAAACGTCATAGTACTCTAAAAAGGCAGATTATTTAAATGCTTTAAGTATTAATACATACTTTTATGAAGAGACTTTTCTCTTTATATTCAAAATATTTAAAATAGAATTTTCGCTGATCCATGGATAAAATAAGGAAAGAATATACTATCAAAATGTCGTCGTCGATTCGACCTTATAACTAAATATTTTTATAATTGATATATTTTGAACAGCCATACAAATCGTCACATATATGTACTGCAAATGTAGGAAAATATTTTGTTTATAAATAATAAAATTGATAGCAAATTTTTAATTTAAGACAGTTGATAATGCGGCTGGAACTTACATTTATCATTAATATCTGTTTAATAAACATCATAATTATATAACAGTCTATCCGAAAAATATCACATTGACATCCCTTATCTCAATCATCACATATTGTATAATGTTAAATTGCTACTGGAAAATATTGGACGGTCACGAGGTACAAATTCAGATTTTTGATTGGCTAGATTTATTAGACATATAATAATGTAAGATAATAATGTGTATAACTATGGGATAGTGATGTTCTTAAAACGGCATCAGTTGTACTAGCAGTGAATGTTGATAAAATATTTGCTCGTAAGTACTATAACGTCATAATTAATTATCAATATTAACAGTTGAAATACATCATTTCTTGATGAAGATCAATTTATGATACATGCAAATAAAAGGGTAAATTCGTTTATTATATGATTCTTTAATACATTTTATCTTTTCCTAAAGTAATTATTATTTACTAGTTTAATAGATTTTATTAGAGTTGATGAATTAAAAAATAATACGATTTTGTTCGTTTTTGACCGTATCAATCCGAATATTTTGAACCAAAAATTAAACCATTAAAGGGAGTCACTAATGCATATCGTATGTAATTAAATCTAAAAATAATCTATTGAAGAGAGACACTGATGCATACCATATGTTATTAAATCACAAAATAGAAGAAGGAAGTTTTGAACCGGTTTATCTGGTAGTGATTTATAAAAGGTATTTATATATCATATCTTTTGTTCGTTTCAGTGAATGTTTAGTGATATTTCTTACTTTTTGTGTGTGTGTTTATTTTTAAACCAGGAATAACGAACATTGTAGTAGTTCTTTTAATACAATTATAGGTATCGCTTCTTTTTTTACCTTTAAAATTCTGCATGCTACATTCGATATGTCTAATATATTTTATTGTAATGAATACAAATCACGAATACAAAAATAAACATACCTTTAATACTATTCTTGTTTTTTAAGCTTAAGATATAACATAATAAAAAGAAGAATAATTAAAGTGGCATCGTTTAGTTATGATAAAACATTTATTTTCCCGGAAGTTGATCACATTATTATCGATATATGGAATTCTCACTTGTAGATTTGCATAAATGAATATGGAATAATGTTGCGTAAGGAAATGTCAGCACTTATACTAGTATTGGTTGTGGATATGGTATTTACTGGTTAGTTATTTTACTTCATGATAATTTGTAAGAATATAAATGTGTGAATTTCTGTTAAGATATATTCTTTGAATTTCCTAAATGCATCTATAAAATGTTGACTTTTAAAAGTTTATTTTATTATTATTCCTAATTTTTTATGGTCAAGTTTAGAATTTTATATTTTTATAAAACAATCTTACATACCATTTTTGTGTTTTTTTTCACTTATAAAATATGGAAATAAATATAACTAAAATATAAATAGGCAAAGAAATATATATTTACAGAATGTTCTGTTGGCTGCCAATCATGCTCTGGTTCAACTTGCACACGCTGTGAATCATCTTACTTTTTATCAAATGGATTTTGTTCACCATGTCCCGAAAATTGTGAAACATGTAACAGCTACGATGACTGCACTTCTTGTAAGCCAAAGAAGTATAGTTTGCATGTAAGATGTACTTTCAACTGTGATGGTAATTGTCTAAATAGTGAATGCAATGATGATAATGGATATTGTACTCAATGTAAATCTGGTTTCTATGGACTTCAATGTCAACACAATTGTAGTTCATGTGAAAACGAACGTTGTGATTTACGTACTTGCTCGAGTGGTTGTAGAGCTGGATATTATGAGTTTAAAGGAGGTGTTGAAACAATATGTCTAAATTGTCCGCCAAATTGTAAACATTGTACTGATGGGAAAACATGTTATATTTGCAATGACGGGTTTCAACTCTATAAGTTTAATGACAATGTTCTCTGTGTGTCATGCTTGCAAGAAACGCTATGTCCTGACTGTGTTATTAATGGTTGTAACCAGTGTCAAATACACAATGGTTCATTAGTTTGCGCTGATTGTCCTAAAGGACAAGTATTCAATGGTAAAACATGCGGATCACACACATCATTATGCTATAAAGAATGCTCTACGAGTTGTGATAGTTCTGGAATATGTCAAGGAGAATGTAATGAGGGCTGGACTGGAGAAAAATGTTCCAAACAATGTAACAGCAAATGTTTTAAGTGCTCCAAAGATAACGGAAATAGTTGTCTTCTGTGTAAAGGTAATGTTTACTCAACCGATTGCAGTTTAGCCTGTAACCCGGCATGTATAGTACAAAGTGGTAAACATACATGTGAACATGCAAGCGGATATTGTTTAAACGGATGTAACCAATCATTTTGGGGCGATACCTGTGATAAACCTTGTCCTGGTGGATGTAAAGATCTTAAATGTGACAGAAACAACGGTACATGTACGGATGGATGTAAGGATAAACTGACTGGAGATAATTGTACTCAAACTACCACTACCGGTAAAAAGCATTTTTTCTGTAATGAATTCATTTCAGATTGTTTTATCAAGTTTAAAATTACCGAGAACATAGATTGTTTATTACTTGTTGAGAACAAAACACTATTGGGGAGCCATCACACTATACTTACATTGTTGTTAAGTTAATTAAAGATTTTAGATTTTTACAAATGTGTGTCTTAAGGCTCTTAAGAGGAATTGAACAAATTTACTTGTAAACTTAAATAGTTTTGCTCATGGCAAATATTTCATTATCGGCAAATATTAGCACATCCTATTGCTCAATCCTTATACATGCATCATTATGTATTTTCCTTATACTTTGCATCTGCTTGATTTGATCATCATTGTACGTGTATTTGTTATTGTTATTTGAATTTCTTATTTGGGACAGAAATAACAACTAGTCAAACAAGAGCAAGTTCACACGAAACTTTAACTGAGGGTACACAGATGGTAGTACAAGAAAAGAAAGACAGCAACGAACTAATCATAGGTGCATCAGCAGGAGGAGGCGTTCTAATCTTGATACTGATCATAGTGGGAATTTGTTTGCTAAAACGAAGGTATAAACAAATTTGCATAAGACTTCATTACTTTTATATCATTACTCGTATGAATTATTTTCTGTGAACATATTTCATTCACTCGGAATACCTAACACAAAGCTGAAGTTAGTAAATAAAAAAGGGCTTTTAGCAAATGTATAAAATAGCATCAATCATTCATGACGCATAAGTTCATTTAAAGACTTTAACCTGAAATAAAAAGATCGATGCGTGTGTTCATTATTTTTGGATTGAATATTCCGTTTTTATATTTAGGTTTACATATTACATAATATAATATGGATCGTCCTTTAGTTTTATTACAAATATTGCATTATATGGAAGAAATTTGTCCTTTATTCAACAGAAAAAAATCCCCGACAGAAGAATCCAGTCAACATGAGGCAGTTATTACAGAAGATCAAAGTATGCATTACATAAAGATATTTACATGACTCATGTATGCATATAACATATATTAGCAGTAGTATACAACTTTAAGTCGTTTAAAATAACGACAGTGTTACAGTGTGGCATAAAATCAATGAAAATGTTTTTTTTTTTTTTTTTTTTTTTTTTTTTTTAGTTTTTCATAATCCTCAACCATTACATCACATAATCGTTAATGTTTAATGAGAGAAATTGATATTTCTTGTAATTATATAAAAGTGTTACAGCTATTCATTTCTTCTATGATTTAAGATGTTTATGCAAAACCAATGAAAAAAACGGAAGCAGTTGAAGAAATTCAGGACTACATATATGCACAACCTAACAAAACACACAAGCTGAAGAATCCTAGTACGAGAGAAATTAGCAAACCAAAACCAATGTATGATAATTTTGCCATAGACTTAGATGATAGAAAAACTGTCTCAGATGGTACGTATTCCACTATCACTATTGATGGAGATCTTGAAAACAAAACAGAAGAAGAAACGGATGTTGATGAAATAGAATTAGAAGAATTAGACGAAGGCAGTTCTAAACTTATCGAAAAAGGTTTTTTTTTCATTGAATAACCGTATTCGTATGGGATGCTAAGATAGCATGTATGTATAGTATGTCAGTAATATTTCTTACCTTATTGTCAGAAATATCGATTGTATCAGATATAAAGTTATTAACAGATATTACATATTTTAGAAGATTAATTACTTTTTTCAAGTAGTTTATTTATTGCGTGAAACAACTGCAAAACCTCAATGTATATATAGGATCATTCTTAAAAAAACAGGGCATTGTAAATTACAGAAGTAAATCCACCGAGTGCTGATTTGTATTACAATACAGCGAGTCTACTTAGAACCCGGATTCAAATATCTGATCTACTTGAATACACTAGGAAGAAGACTGATTATGAAGATGAGTTTGAGGTTGGGTATTAATTGCATATTTCATATTACTGTACCTGTTATAGGATAGGGGGAACTTAATATAAGTTTTTATAGTTTGAAATAAGATAATATTAAACTTAAATTATTGTAGGAACAATTAAATGTTGGTATTTAATACTGCTAGAAATGTTAAACTGCGTAAATTAATTCTATCGGTTCAATAGATAAACCTGTATTTATAATTATATTGATATAGAAACGATAAATTTGATGATACATAATAATTCAGCTATTTCTACGTTTGGTGTTATATTGTTTTGAAATTCATTTTCAATTTAGAAATTACCCAAAGGATTGACAAGGCCTTGTGACGAAGCTCTAACGAGGTATAATCGCAAGAAAAATAGATACAACGGAGTATATGCATGTAAATACTTGTTCTTTTTTTAAGAAATCTTTGTAAGGTTTGGCTGGTTCCTTTTTTTAGTTACAAAATTGATTGACGTTATACTGTGTACTTATATTTATAATGTACTTTTAATTTATACATACTATATCTCAGAGCATTTTATGATTCATTATTCAAATTTGATGTTTAGCAATACCGCTACGGTCTTATACAATCATGTTTTAATTAATGTAAAACGACACAGAGAAGACATGTTAAATTCTTAACGATATACACTATAATTAAACACTGTATGAATACATAGTGTCATTGAAAAAAAAAGCAAAAAAACTTACACTTTGTTTTAAGAAAGAACCAGATTATCTTGACCAGTCACAGGGAATACACATTTCAACTACTTTTGTCCAATTACGTTTGTGCATTCTCTTATTCAAATTAAACATAAAATATCCGGTGAGAATATCCTAGCTTTTATCTTATGTCTGCAATACTTTTTTACCCAAAGGCGAGCGTAAGATATCTTTAGTTAATTCGAGCATTTAGGAAGATCGTATATTTTCTGCTGTTTCAGATGATGCTACTCGTGTTGTCTTAAAAAGTAAAACCTATATCAACGCAAACTACATTGATGTATGTATAAACACACATACTTGTTTGATTATTTTTATAAATTTTTATATAGGAATATTTTCATGTTTAGCGCTCCTTTCAACATACAACTATTTTTCACTGACAATCCTATGCTAGACATTTGATATTTTGTTAAAGTAAAAATAATAACTTAATATTAATAACTGATGCAGCTAAGCACACTTATGCCTTGAATTGAAAAAATGCCATCATTTTTTAAAAATAATGTGTGCACAAAAAATAACAAATGTGTTTGCATTGCCATGGACAGAACATTGGTTTGACTGACCAGATAATATTCATGAATTATCAGTATTTGTATATGGATATTTTTATAAAGAGATATTTCACATCTATTTATGTTTCATAATTTAGGGGCACAAGAAGTCACCAGAGTACATAGCCTCTCTCGGTATGTATACTTGGTTTAACTTATATATAGGAATAATGATTTTTAAAAAACGATTTAAAGCACAGTACTATTTTTAATTAATAATACTTAATATTGCAAAGATATACTGTTGAAGGTAAGCGGAATTCTACAACTTTCGGGTATCATATTTACATCAATATTTCTCATATATTTTTTCACTTATTTCAGTTATATTATTTGACTCTTACTTGGGGTGTCATTTTTACATCAGTTTTTCTCTGATATTTATTTACTCATTAATGTTTTAAGGACCAACTAAGGATGCAATGAATGCTTACAAAGACTTTTGGGAGATGATATGGGAAGAAAAAACAGATAAAATTATTATGTTGACCAATCTAGATGAGTCTGGGGTTTGTATATTACCATACTTGCCAGAAAAAAACTTGATTTAGTTTTGTATTTTTCCTGATTAACTTGGCTTAATATATAAATACCTGGTCAACGATTCAGCCTGATTAAAACTTATTATTTTAGAATCAATAGAAACAATTTCTATACACTTAATGTAATAAAATTATAAATACACTGAGAGTTAAATGCATATATCTAATAATTATTTCATTTTAACTTGTGTCACGTATAATTTGGTAATACACACAATAATTTAATAAGAAACATAAAAAAATCATGCTTTGCTTACTTCATAGAAAATGAAATGTGAACAGTATTGGCCAGATCAAGGGAAAACAAAGAATTACCATGGATACAAAGTGATGTGCATTGCTGAGATAATATTTTCAGAATTCACTTTAAGGGAGTTTTCTGTTGTTGTACAGGTATGTTTTATCGCATCAAAACATAAATATACGTTGAAATGACCTTTGATTTGTTTAAGACATAAACGTTCTACTTGTTTGATCTTCCTAATATGTTGAACAAAAATTATCTCTATCCCTACGTTATAGTAAATTGTCTTTAAATTATGTGCATACTATAGACCTAAAAAGATAATACACCATTTATAACAATGTTTTTTTTTCAATTTCAAAGGGTTCTGAATCAAGGAAAGTAACACAATATCACTATACTGCCTGGCCTGACCGATCAGTTCCAGATAATGTTGCCTCTCTGATAGAGTTTAGAAACAAAGTTGAACAATCAAAGTCAAACGATGCTTGCCCAATGGTAGTGCATTGCAGGTATTTGTTTGTATTGATATAATATATATGACTGATAACTGCAAAGACTCGCCAAACCATATATCGTCAGATGTCAACATACACATTACGAATATTAATCTCAAGAATTAATGCATGTATTAAGAATATAATGCAAATATTACTACATGAGTGAAATGACTCAAATCAAAAGAAAAAGATATTTTGAGTTGTTACTTTCAGTTACAAAAGAAAACAGTTTACATTGATATCGATTTTGATACTATGTAATTTTATCATCCTTTAATGTTTTTATATACCAGTGCAGGAATCGGTAGAACTGGAACCTACATCGCATTAGATACACTTATACAGGAAGGCATGAATGATAATTATGTCGACATTTTTGGTCGTGTGATGGCGCTACGAGGACAAAGAGGTCACATGGTGCAAAACTTGGTATGTTATTATATATGGATGATATTTGGTATTTTTATGATTTGACATGATATTAGTTATTCAGAACCATGTATTGTTCTTCCTCTTGTTTAGGAACAGTACATATTTCTTCATCGGTGTCTTCTGTATGCCCTCACGTGCGATCCAGATCCACTTCCGATAACACATATTCCTCGCATCATGACAGACGATAAAACATCACATCAATTTCAGGTACATATGCATATTTTTAAAACTATTTGTGTAATTAAAATAACTTTTTATTTTGAAATATCATTCATTCTTATAAATAAGAACAGTATACTGACTTTAATTGTCACAATCGACTTATTCAATAAAAATAATGACGGAAAGCTTTTGCTGTTTAATATAGTCCACTTGTTGCACGTTTAGTCCTTAATGTTTTTTTTTTCAAGTCAATCCTTTTGATATTGGGGATTTGATAATAGTTATCACACTTACATTACCTCTTATCAATCTATTCACAAGTACTTCGATTTAAGATTGAAAAGTTTATTGCTGCATCATATAAATTATACGGACTACAGTTGATCAATTATTAGCTACTAATGTGTATTGAAGCTACTAAATGAACATGAATTATCTAAGTAACAGGTAGCTAAAATAACTTTACAAAACATTATACTGATCTTTTGCAAATATGTACATTCATTTCAAAAGCACATTATGCCTCAGAAACAAACAAGTTTTTTTTTTCTTCAAAAAGGGCAGACATGGAGTTTTAACTGTTTGATTGATGGTTTTTGAGCATGTTTGTCAATTGAAAAAAGAAGTGCTAAATATAAAATTATCAGTCACAAATGTAACAAATTGTAAACAAAGTAGTATTTCGAATTTCATACAACACAAAATCAATATAACTTTAATTATTGCTAAAAAGCAACAGAGGAAAATCCATGGTTCAGCTTATTGGCGAATATGTAACACATTAGTAACTATAACAGGATATCATAAAAAAAACACTTTTAAGAAATAAAAATGGACCTTATAACCAATTTATGTCAATAAATTTTATTCAAATCTCTATACAAACAATATGTAATTGGATAAGATGACCTCCTTTTATAACTATATACCCTTAAATAATGATGACTGTGGATGTATTTTTGATCATTTCAGACATTTACTGATGTTGTTATGCCGAAAGACTTAAATGGGAAAGCATCTGCTAACAAGAAATTAAGGAAGGACAATAGACACGGAGCTGACATTCCTTGTATGAACATTTGCATTACATTCTCTTATCTTCTATATAATTTATAAATTATGATATTTTTTTATGATTAAAAATATGATAATGTTAAAGATCTTTTCGCTGTTAGTGATGATAATAAGTCAGTGCAACAAAGAGATGGGGATAATATATAAAATACATTTTTAATTACATAAAATGGAAGTAGAATTTTGACTTAATGATCGTTTGGCAGACAGAGTGGATTAGATTTACTAAATATAAAATAATTATTAAAGTAAGCATAAGTTTAAAGCTGTTTAAAAAAGATTAGACAACCAACCTGTAATTCATAATTGTGTACAAACCTTGTTAAACTTAAAAGTTTGAACACTTTTTTGCATTTCAACAATATCACATTACCTATAGTCATTGTGTAGGTAAACTTCCTTTTTCATTCACACTTATAATACCAGACTGTAATAATAGTAGATTTCAATAGAAAATAACCGTCGGTAAATATACCCTATTTGTATGAAATTCTCATTTGAATAGAAAACCGTGGCTATTCAGTGGTTGTTTAAGTTTGCATTCAGGGTAAATACCCTGTTGTTCATTAGGAAGTGATTTAAAGCCGAAAATAGATCTTTATAACATTAAACCATCAAACAAATTTACATTCAACATTTTGAGGCTTTAATAAATAACATCCTATTTTTTATGTATAGGCGATGATTACAGAGTGAGACTGTCATCAACAAAGCATGAATACATAAATGCAGTTTATGTAAATGTAAGTTTATGTTTTCAAGTGAAGTTATTTTGATTTCATTTGAAGTTTCGATTGTCGCCCTTTTCAATATTTTTTCATGAACCTTGCTTGCGTTGCCTCCCTTTCTTTTAGTGAATATATAGATAGCCTTTTTAATTGAATTTATACATGATGCATTTAAATTGTATAATTATAATTGGCATTTTAATAATACTCTTTTATTATATCAGCACACTTTGGATATATGTAAGCTATTAACAGTCACAGATATTTTCAAAGATCTTACATTATTGTTGTCATTGTATATTAAATTTCTTTTCACTCATCCCAGAAAGTTATGAAGTTATGAAGTCATATTCCCGCGTTATTAACTGATTAGATTATTAGACTGATTTAATATATGTCTAGTTCTATGTAAAAAAAGGAGGTGTTGTAAAAGCTTTCATACGATGTATATGATTACTATCAAAGTCAAAATATACTTTAAACGGCATCATTAAATTATAATGTTACTTGAAATTATATTTAACTAGTATCTATATTTCAGGGATACGAAAATCCATACAAATTTATTGTTACACAGACTCCAATGCCGAATACAGTTGAAGACTTTATATCGATGCTTTATCAGGACAAATGTGCTTGTGTTATTAGTTTGGACGACGAAAACCTGAAAGATAAAGTTAGTGCACATTTATAGATTATCTGGATTGTTTTAGATAATTATATGTAAGATTTTATTTAATAGTATTGGTTGGCAAATTAATCCATACCTAACATATTTAATTTCAGTGTCGTTTTACAACAAAATTTAATGCAATACAAATGCTTGCTATGCAATACAAATGTTTGCTATGAAAAAAAAATGTTTGGGGGTGGGGTGGATAAACCAAAGACTCACCTTTAAGGCTTAAAGACTGTGATAGGTCGTTGAATTCTAAATCATTTTGTTTGTATGTTACTTATGTACTCACCGAAACATAAATTAGACTGATTTTGAATTTTGCTAAAAATTCTTATCCAAAATTAATGTTATAATTGTTTTTTACAGATGTTCTTTTTTAATTTCATATTACTAATTTTCAGTCTGTCGGACATTATCTACCGCAAGATGGAAAGGCGTTCAAAGTTGGTCATTTCCAAGTAACTTGTAAGACGGTTGACACAACGGATTATGGTACAATACGGGACATGACAATATCGCGCACTGGATTGGTATATGTTCCTTTTTTTTAGCTAAGAATAATTATGCCAAGATCTTTTTGGTGACCAGTTTTATACATATAATTCAATTCCTTTGCCTTTTTCAGATTTTAATACTTCTGTGTTTTAAATACATCACATGTTCTTTGTTTAAAGGTATACATTATCCTGCAAGGAAAAACGAACATTTAGATTCAGCAAATATGTGCAGGGGTTTTTCCTAGTAACTTTTCAGGAATCCTTTTTGTATCTATCATTCATTTTCAATCCAGAACTTAATTATTAATAAAAAAACCGAGCTTCGCCTTCCCAGTTGTAACGTAATCTGTACACATAATATACATATTTTATTATTTTTCATTAATATTATGTAAAACTTAAGGCAACTTTGTTACATAAAGCTCTTTTGGGAGCAACATTTGAAACATTAATTTAAAGGGTAAAATGTAGAAAAAGCCCACAAAAGTTAGCTTTTTTAAAGCGGGCAAAGGATTTTGAAAATGAGGTCAAAGGCAAAAAGAAATGAAAAATCGATTTTCAGTTTGTAAGAAATTGATTAAAAAATATTTTTAAAATAAATTTTTCATATTTTGGGTTTTAATGCTGATCCGTATAAAGGGGATATTAATTATTGTTTGGTTTTTGTTTGTAAAGCTAGTTTTATACCGTTATAAAAAAAATGCAGCAGAACCTAGGTTTTCCAAAAAGGGGAAAGTCCCCATACCCCTATATGGGGGTGGTGTGAGTAACCTCGAATCAAACAAACAAAGCTAGTTTTATATTGATTTTTTTATTCGGCTTAAATATTTTGTAAATGTATACGTTATATTATATAAATACTTTGTTGTTTATTGCTGTTTTAATAGGACTGGAGCTGAACGAAGCTGTATTTATTTTGGTGCTGTCTCTATTATATCAGAAAAAGTGTTTCTTTGAGAAAAGAAATTAGTGTCCTGAAATACCATTTAGGTCAATGCGTTCAAGGGAGAAGTCAGCTTTTACCGACATTGTAAGTAATAAATTAACTATCATCATAAGAAGTCTGTGAATTATCTTAATTTAAGGTACTATCTTAATATGCAGGCTTCGAAAAACTATTCTCTATTTATGCTTCTTATTTAAGTTGTATTTGACGAGCTATTGAGTCAAAATTGTCTATATCACTTCTATATCACTTCACATTGCATCACATTGCATCAATAATTAAACATGAGCTATATACGAGTATATCCAACTTGTCATTATTGTGAACTTGTCTGATATTTCAGAATATTACATCTTATATAAACCCCTGCAAACATGTATTCACTTAACATTTTTTATCTTCTCGCAAATTTATCACTAAAATAAATTCGCCTTATTTTCAAATCAATTGCACAACATTGCCTATGTCTACTGTTTAAAATTACATAAAATAAAACACAAAAATACAGTTATTGACAAATTGATATTATGGAATGATTAAATTATAATTATTATAATTTGGTCTAAATATTGACTATTGATATAGTGGAATGATTAAATTACTATTATTATTATTATTTTTATTATTATTATTATTATTATTATTATTATTATTATTATTATTTTGGTCTAAATTATCAATTTACTTTATTTCAGGCACAATTCAGGTTTTGTTACCAACATGTAAAATATCTTGCTGAGATTTCCGACAAGAAGAAATACTATAATATGAACGAGCTGTTGTGAACAATGGTTGAAGAAATTCGTCTTTATTATCACTTTATTACTTGTCCATTTTTACACAGATATGGCACTTGTTTAAAGGCTGAAAAAGCTATTTTTTATTTTTCAAATGCTTTTTTTGGTGTCCTGTTGCAATCTCTGAAAAGACATATTACACATTAGTCATGCATAAAGTTAAGCCATTTTGTTTTAGTGTTGTTTTGGCAAATAATTAGTTATAGTACTTGGTATTTTATTTGAAAATCAACATGCAATTTCGTTTACATTTTCCTAACCTATATCTAAAAATATTTCACCTCTTTGAGCACTGTTTTCTTCAGGTGATATGCATCTTATATGCTCTCAATTCAATTTTACAACATAACAATGCCTTTTTCTCTGAAAAGAATACTCGTTGTTTTTTTTTGTTTTTTTTTAATACATGTAAGGACACGTTTATAAATATGATGAACATTTTCATTAAACAGTACTGTAATGTTTTGAAATATTGTTATAACGGGTTTTCTAACTGCTTATTTGTTATATTATCTAAAGTCGCTTATATTTGTAATGTTCGATGCATTTAGCGAACAGTGTGCATTTGTATGCTTAATATAAACATTTTGATTTTATTTTACTAGATTCGGTCATATTATTTTATTAATGAAAAGCATGATATTAATTTTCTTATTGAATATTCAAAAGTATATAATTCAATGCAATAATATAAGTCTGTCACAACAACCTTTATATCAACCATGCGCATTAAACATAAATATATGAATAATGTAAACAAATTATTTTATAATTGTTATAAATTAAAGTATCATTTTAGTGATATATTATAGAAAGATATGCCTTTAACAAAATATGATATGTGTAAAATATTATTCTGTGTGCATGTCTTTGCTTTATGGCTTATATGAATTAATTATTTATTGTGCTAGTGTTTGCTTCTTTCCCTTAGTGTTAGTGTGTCCTTTTGAGGCTGATCAACTATGTTCTTTACAACTAGGGTTTATACTCATTATATCATGAGCAGAATCAATAAACCGAGTCTAAAAATGTCAACTGTTTCCTTTCTATAACTTTCGAGTAATCTTCCCTTTAATATAGCTTAACATACTATAAGCATAAACTACAATTTTATAAAGCATGTTTTCTTAACTAGTAGTTCATATTTGGAACGAAATTTTATGCTATAGCCTTTCTAACCGTGTTTTACAGATGCTTTTAGTTTATTAGATATGATAAAAAATCAAAACTTGAGCCTTCATTAACTCTTTTCAAAACAGTCAAAAATATTTGCACAGGTTTATAAACTAATTTAGCCTGTCCAACTCAATAATAGTCTTTTTATACATTTCTTCATCTTCTTTTTGGTTATCTTATATTCTTTCAAATACAGGTTAACATTAGATCTTTTCAACATGTATATACAAAGTACAGACATTTCAATTCATATCTAGACTGTAGTCCTTTTATCATTGTTTTTTATCTTTATAAACTATGTTTGTAGACGAGAATCTTTTATATATAAGTTCATAAACTAAAGCTTCTTCTGCATGAGTTTTTCGCAGATATAGTTCTATAGTTGATTTCGAATGTAAAGCTTTCTTTATTCAACACATACATTGAAATTTAAAAATAAAATGTATTTTTACATTCAGCCAGTGGTGTTCAATATAGGTTTTAATATCGTATTCCTATTGCTAACTTTGTTTAACATTTACTTATACAATTTGTTGTTACATTGTTGTCTTTTATAATTATTAGCTTTGCAATACTCAAGATTAAATCAATAAATGACATGTAAATCTCTTTTAAATTTACTTTTGTCCTCAAATGTATAGTAATAAAGTATATAATTTATAGTTACGTTTTGATAAATGTCAAATGCTAAATGGGTGAAATAACACATTGCCTTTCATAACCATGCCACAAGGCTTCCTAAGTCCAAATAGGCCATATTCAGGTCAGACATGTGGCCATCCAATTTGTGTCCGCTGTATGTTATAATTGTTAAATGTGGTGAGTTACTTTTTGTTTTTTTACACGCAAGTAACACATAATTATTACTTTTTCTTATTCTTCGTTTTATTTGTTGCAACATTACAGAATGATTCGTCAGCGGTTTGAGTATATACAGAGAATGCAGTGTGTGTCCAATTGCTAATTGTATGTACTGGTCATATTTTCAACATAGCATTGCGAATTAAGAAGGGTAACTACAGACAGTATTGCATTAATCTAGAAATAATAATCTCCCTTTAGATTGCAAACATTAAACAACATATAACTTTGATTTATTGCATCTTGCAATGTCAATGTTTGATTTCATTAAATTATCGATATAGAACAAAAAAAGAATTGTATCAAATTGTCTGTAACACAAAAGAGGGAAAACAATTTAATCAAAAGTTCTAAAATATTCCTTCTTTTTAATATGTTAAACTTATATAACAAAATAATGACTGAATAAAATCATTCTTATTAAGTCGTCGTAATTCTCTTTATCTGCCTATACTTTTTTAAAATCTGGGAAAAAAGTGTCTTTGCTTTCCATTTTAAATTTATTTTGTGCATTCAACATTTATGTACCAAAGAATTCTTCAAAGTGTAACATGTATATGACATATATAAATATATTTTGGGTCAAAATAAGTTTATCTCTTATTGCTTCATTAGCTTTTTTAGTGTTAAGATTTTTTATAATTGCTCGCGAACGAATATGTTCGAAGTTTATTTGGGAGAGGCGGTTATATACTTATCACAGATATGGCATAAAAAGGATTTGTAGATTCTGAAGATTTAAATTGTTATATTATGGTGATAGAATATATAACATGTCTATTCCTTTGGAATACAAACATTCTTAATCAAACGTCTATCTCGCAGGTGCTTATGTATCCTTGATAATAATTTCAGGGATATAGATGCTTCGCCCACATTTATTTGGTTTTCAGTTGTTTTTTTTAATTTATGCCCCTGCTTCTACCACATTATCTACTAACGTTACAACCACGAGATTAACAGTTTAACCGTCTTTCGAATGCTGATCTTGGAACACATGGAGGCGAATCCAAATTATCAACAATTTCATTGTGTAAAGTTTTACTTTTTGTTACAAATTCTAGTATGTATGATGAATTCTAAATAAGGCTTCAAAATCTAAATTGATGAAAATTACAAAATAAAGATAAACAACAAAAATATTAACTGCTAAGATACAATGACAACTTTAACAATCAATCAGATAAAAACATTAATTAAAATATATCGCAGCTTACGTGGTTGGAGTCATAAAAATAGATATAGTTGATTTCTGTTTAGTGTTTGACAAATTGAATGCTTTTATAGCAAAGCATATCACTTTTGACAAATAAATCGGACAAGCAATATATTCATTCTAATTACAGAAATTATGAAAAGATTTCTTCTACGTAAGATATATATTGATGTTTTTTTTTTACAAACTAGACGAGGGTTCAAGATTTATAACACATCTGTCATAAGGATATGTTTTATTCTATTGTTTTACGTGACCATTGGCAAATGTCAGTCTACTTTTGCAGTCCGACCCCATCAAAGACCTTACGTTTTATAGAGAATTGTATGGCGATATGTTTTGCTGTCATGGTGCCTGAATAAACCTAACTTATGTGTTTCATATGACTGTTGCCCGAAACAGTTGTCTAACTGATCATTTCTCGTACTACTGGCGATGTATCAATTTGACAAATAAAAAAAATCAGAAGATGAACGATGTCTTTTTGTATGAAAAATATTATGAAAAGCATTGCTCTGAAATATCTCAAAATATTTGATATCTGGGTGTGCATGCTTCGCATCAGTGGCGTAACATTTTGTAAAAACGGTTTTATCGTTTCTTTCCCCTTTATTCTATAAGCTGCATTAGTTATGTATATCTTCACTTCATCTTTGCCCAGACCCTTTTCTCCGACACTCCGACACAAAAGCATTTAAAGACTCGTTGTCCGTACATTTGGTTAATCACAAAAATTTAGGAAAATATCAGACGGTGATTTTGCCCCCGTTTCAAAAGTAGCTCCAGGTAAGTTTTCGAGGTCACAGTTATCATATTCATCAAGAGGATTCATGTCTTGATCTGATGTTGAAGTGATACATTTAATCCTGTATTTAAGTTGTCCTCTCATTGTTGAAACCAGCCTCCCCACTGTCAGTTCATATGCTACTTGCAGGACGCTTTTTTCGTTCTCTAATCAGTAAAAGCATAGACATGTTGTTTAAACAGTGATGTAAAATTTTATATGATTTTATATCTGATCATCCTTTTAAATCTTCGAGCATCGTGTATTAGGTAACATCATAACAAGTCTGCATCATAAAACTGAATACAACAAGGAAATAAACTGGCAATATTCCTGATGCAACTTCATGCAAAGTATGCTTTGATTATTCATAACAATAAAAATGTAATTTATTTAATGGTAAACGACTTTATGTCTGGCACTTTTCTCAAACGTAAACTAATCCATGGAGTAATTGTCCTGGATGTTATGATTATGTAAATTAAATGTGAATGTAATATTAATAATATGTAAATCTTTAAAGTAAATAAGAATAAATATATGTTTATTATAATGTAGTTAAACGATCACTTCTGCTGTTTATATATGGAATGAGACTATAACATAATATGTTAGTCGTAATATTATTCAAATTTATTCTGCAATTATATTGAGGTCAAGATTGCTATATTTACTAGCAGTATAAGAGACGTGTACTGTAATAACTGTCTTAATTTGATGCCATAAATTACGCGATACTGTCACCGTAATTTACCTTATATTGATTCTATAATTTTCCCGTGAACTGGCAAATGATCTACATAAAATTTGGGACACAACCTACCTTTGTGGATATGTTCTTCACGATGAAATGATGTTAAAGCAATGGGTTTTTTATACTTACTTGATATGGATGCCTACATATTCCTGATATTGACATGAATTACAAATATAATGCGCAATTTTAAAACTACATCCAATTACATAATATCAATGTCATAAGTTACCTAATATCAAAATAAACCTGATTTTGATACCATTATTCATCTAAAATTGTTATGTTAAATCGTAGCTTTCCTTGGAAAATACGGTTTGAAATTGTTGCAAATATAGCAGCGGACAACATGTGTAGACTTTTCATCCGACAATGGCTGGCAAATCTGAATTTTCTTTATAGAGTTTGTTGTCAGTAAAATAAAGACGTTTAAACAAAACAGTTTCACCTAATGTTTGTGAGACTGTCATTGAAATGCATTGGAAGTTTTATCTGTTCTGTTCGAAACCTTAGGCAAAGTTTCTAAGAAGTAAGACATACGAAACATTAAACACGTATTGGACGTCCGCGCATCATGACGCCTTCTCAAGACATCTTCATTATGAACACACTACGAAGCAATCATTTTCAAATTGCCACTAATACTGCTGATAACTACGATGGCACAAAGGTGACATGCGTGTATTTTTATTTATCTCGTGGCCACGAGATACTATGTCGTGGTCACGAGTTACTTAGTCGTGCCCACGAGATACTATGTCGTGGCCACGAGATAGCTAAGTGGTGGCCACGAGATACTATGTCGTGGCCACGAGTTACTAAGTCGTGGGGACGAGATAATTAACCAATCAAAATTCATAATATATATATTATGATTTTTTTAAACTTAACAACTTACTTTTACATGCAACATTAATCTTTGAAAATACTGATGATATTCACCTTGAATTTGTCTTTAGGATCATATCAGAAAGTCACCTTCCAAGGCATATCAGACATTAATTTTGACTATAGCTCTTTGTAGCGACAATTTTGTGATCGAATTAGTCAGTTTGTACGTACTACGGCCTGTTTAACTTGTTTATACGATAACATGAGAAGGAATAAGTCCTGGTATATTTTATTTGAAAGAGACATTGCCCATGGACAGTAGATAGCCTATAAGGTAAAATCATTGGCTGATAAATAATTTAGAAGGGATAAGCCATGGTTTATATAACCCAGAAAGATCATTGTACCTGATCAGTGGATGACATCTAATAATTTCGAGGTCATTGAGTTAAACATCGGTCATTGAGTCGGAAGTCAGGGTCACAGTGACGCTAAATGTAAAATTATTGACAAGTCAATAAGTCTGTATAAATGGCACTTTTACAGGCTGGTGAAGTAGGGGCATCCTTGTACTTTAGCACATGTCTAGTAAATGAGGGAAATTCACATAAATGGTGTTATCTGATTGGTTATTTATCTCGTGGCCACAACTTAGCTATCTCGTGGCCACGACTTAGTAACTCGTAGCCACGAAATAGTATCTCGTGGCCACGACTTTGTAACTCATGGTCACGACATAGTATCTCGTTGCCACGAGATAAATAAAAACACACACATGTCACCTTTGTGCCGACGTAGATAACACCCATGATACACATAACAACCGAATAACTGCCCAAACTGAACGCAAATGACTGCGCAAAAATGCTCCTCGTGGACATTGTTCTTACATTGGCTGTATATTCACGTGACGTCATTGCGTAAATCGTGTAAATTGGCGGTACACACTATCGCTGGATAAGACAATAATTAAATAGCATTCTTTTCTCTATCGAGTCGACATTTTTTATTTATCTAAGGCTTCGTGTATACCGTAGAAGAAATGAATGTTATACCGACTGTTGTGAAGTTAAAAGATGTTGTTTTTAGGCGGAGGTTCTGTATTGGTTTGCGCAGGCATTGAGAATAGTTTTTGCACACGTCTCGTCGTAAGACAAATGAAA